CGAAAACAATATATCCAATGCATCATGTAGATAGGTAGATATACAACAGATCCAACCCAACATGTTATATTCCACATCGTGTACCCGCCCCGTAGACTTCCTTGTAGGTATCCTCGACCTAGCCCACCGACGGCGCCTCTCATGCAGGTTCGCACGCAGAACGGTCCGGCAGATCCACAGATCGATCTCTCCACATAGCCATGCATCGACACCTCGGACCGTTATCCGGCGTGACTGGCGGGTGGGCGGAGGCGTGGAAGGGCACAGGAGTGGGTGTTGGCGCCGCGGGCGGCCGAGTGCGGTTTGCGAAAACGAGCACAACGGGCCGCGAGGATGGACAAAATGCCTAAGTCCTATATAGGAGCTCCGACCAGAGCGGCCAGAGATGTCTTTTCAAACGTTGAACGTCGTGGGCATGATTTGTGTTCTCCAGTAATCCGCCAGTATCTTCAGACGGATCAGGACAAAGAACACCTCTCTCAGATCGATAACTCAGGACAAGATAGCGGGCAGCAGATATTGGTCTAACGCTCGGCTAAGATGCTTGAATGCCCGGATTGCAACCGGCGTTCCCCTGTAAAGATGTCTTAACAGACAAAGGGCAAAGGGCACTTGCATGGAGCCAGTCCCGGTCGTTAGCTTTGAGGTGATAGAGGTTGCTGTTATGGTACTATGACGACTGGGCAGGAAAATCCCCGATACATGCTTGTTTAGCTGGTGACTATTGAAGTAGACGGCTTAAAGACGGTATAGACCGTGTTTAGCTTTGTCAACATCTCATCCCACTCGCCTTGGGCTGTGCTTAAGATCGTGACAGCTCCACCAGCTCCAATTCGCCATTTTTGTTCGCGAGCGTTATCATTGGATGAGCTGAATGCCGTGCGGATAAGTACTGAGAAGCTGCCACCTCCCCCAAGATCCAGGAATCCCATGACACCAGAGTACACTCCACGCCTACGAGACTCGATAGAGGAGAGATGCATGCAAGAACGTTCCTTCGGGGCACCAGTCATAGAGCCTGGTGGAAGACATCTCTGCAGAGCCGTAAGCCCGTATGCTGACATATCCGCTGACTGCAGTTCTGGAATGTCTCGTGCAGCGAACCCAGGCCGAGTCGGATCAACCTGGCCTTTGACATGTGTGATCATTGAATACACATGTCCATAATCCTCGACCTCGAGAAGCTTTTCGACAAATACGCCACCTGAACCACAGATACCATAGAGATCATGCCGAATAAGATCTGCAATCATAAGGTTTTCAGCGGTTTCCTTGGTCGAGCTGAGAATCTTTTGGGCCATTCCAAGCGTCATATTGTCCGTTTTCCTCACGGTACCTTTCATGGGTTTCATTTCGAGAAGAGACTCCCGGTCCCAATTGAGGAAGCATTCAGGGCTGCTGCTTAGAACTTTAACTTTTCCTAATTTTGCATAAGCACTGAACGACGCAGGATTGTACTTTTGAAGGCGCTTGTACAACAGCCAAGGGAAGTCCATGCTATCACAATCTGGTTCGGAGAAAGGCACTGTGATTACTGTTTCACAAGTAAGGCACAGTTCGTATGATTCACCGGCGTGCAGTTCGGCGGTACAAGCATCAAACTGTTCTTTGTAGCGTTGTTCATTGGGAAATTGTGCCGTGGATCGACTGAGTATAGAATCCAGAGCTACTGTGTTGGTTGTAATACTGTCGACATTATCGACGGCAGGATGAGATGATATATCTTGTAGAAGTCGCATTGTTTCATCAAGCCATCCGGCCGGCTGGTTATCAGCTTCCCGGGTAGATTGTACGGTAACACGGCCAGACTCATGGTCGAGGACCACGCTTCGTTCGGTCCAAAGTAGACTCGCATCCACTGTATCTTCCGAATCCTCTACCGAGGAGTTGTGACTGTGGTCTTTTGGGTGAGGAAGGCAAGCGAGCCCCATTTCATATGAAAAGTACCCGAGGAATCCTGCCCAAAACGGGACATCCCGACTGCCTGATTCAACCTTCTTCAGGTCCATCAAGTACCGAAGGACATCCCAAAATTGGCTGGTCGACAAGGGCGTGTTAATCACAGAATGCCCTTCTAAGGTATCCTCGCAATGAAGATTCTCCAAAAAGAGCCTTTCAGTCTGCGCGAAGAATTCTAACCTCCAGCTGCCAGGACTAGGCACGGATATGATGCTGTGTCGGCCGTTGGATTTGAACAACACCGTCGGAAAACCGGGACTATTAAGAGTCTCGCAGATTAATGCCGAATCCAGCGGTTTAGCGTAGAACTGTCGGAAGGAGGAAGATCTTGAAGTAGATGTGCACCAGGTCGACATGGTATGCACAATGTTCGGTAAAGAAGCTATATCATCCGATTCTTGGAGGCAGGTGCTTATCACTTTCGGGAAACTGCCTCGTCCACTCGTTTTGTTGTAGTAGAGAGTCATCTCCCACCATTTCCTTAGCATTTGTCTGCATGCTTCCCTGTCCGACTTGCAGGATTCTGGATGAAACTGAACACCCCAGAAGGGTCTATTCTTATGGCGGACAGCCATTGGAAGTTGGGTCAGCTGAACCGAATCGGTAGAGACCTGTTCCTCCAAGGGCAGCCATGCCAGAACATCAAGCTCTTGTGCTGCGAATATGTCTGATCTTTTATCGCAGCGGTCGTTCTGGACTGTGTCTAGCTGGGCGTATAAAGAGTGGTACAGTGTGACCTCCAGATCTGGTACGCCATCGAATATATCTTCATCGGAAGTTTGAACCCTGCGAACTTGGCCATGGAGCGGATATGGTAGCCGGTGAATGGGAACACCGTGACGAAGGCATAAGCTCTGAAAACCGAGACAGATTCCGAGGACTGGAAGCATATCTGCGGCGCTCAGGCTCCAGATATCCTCCATAATTCCCACATCATGCGGTATATGTGGATCACCGGGGCCCGGCCCAAGAACAATGGCTTCGAAATGTTTAAGAAACTCAGCAGCGTTCCCATCCGGCCATGTTGAGTCAATATGCATGATCGTGACTTTCACATCCAACACCTCCTCAAGCATGGCGACAACATTGTAAGAGAAAGAGTCGTACGCGTCGACATAGAGAACGTTCTTTGAAGGTGTCATCTCGTGGCCATTTCGTCGGGAAGGTAAGGGCGCATCATGGCCCAGTAATGGGGCCATGTCTCGGGGTAAGACGGAAAGAAAAGGATATGTCGTGATGCTGTGCTAGCGAACGAGGAAGAAAGAGTATTACAGGGACTAATATAGAGTCGGATACATAGGGAACAAGATTACATCAAGGTGTAGACTTCCGTATTGGAGATCCTGACGGCGCCTCCGACAGCATTAACGGGCGAACGCCTAAATCAACGCGATGCCGGCGGTGCCAGAAGTCAATGTATTATGATGGGAGGGCGTCGCAGTACGTGTGAAAAAGGGGCAGAAAAGCTCTGCTTTTCGGCGGTTCGATGCAGTGGTAATGTCTGCGTTTTCGAGGCCGTAGGGCCCAGTGTAGGTAGTCGGTGTCAGGGTTGGTTTTGCTCGCTGACGTCTACCTCGTGGTTGTCGGTGTTTCTTATAAGCCGGTCGCCCCACCCGATCCAGCTCGTCGCTTCGAGCTAAGGTAAAGATGCTGCGGAAGGGCGCGCTAGATCGATCTTTAGGGTGGTGAGGAAGCAAAGATAAAGAAGCGTCGAGAGGCACGCCCCTCATATCGGGTCGAAGGCAACAAGGTTGCAGACTCTGAGGCGGCGAAATGCGGGAACGGACCGGAACAACAATAATCCGGCCCGCATCTGCTGCCAAGAGGGCCGTTCGGAGGTAAGTACCAGGATAGGTGGACCGAACAGTGACAGCAGCGCCCACGAGGCGCCTGGTCATGGCCCCCTTTCGAAAAATACCCTCGCGCTCTACAAGAGCTTGGCAAAGGTGTGCGCTTCCATTGTCATGTAGATGTGTACGCAGAGAACCAGCCTTGTCCAATTTCCCTACAGGATCATCTATTTCCTCTACAAGATCAAGGCGCAGGTGAAGGGGAGGGGTCCCAGACTCCTAGGCACGTTCATCCTAGCTTGCTCCCGCTTCGTAAGGCTATGCTGGGAGGTACTAGATAAGATGATTGTCGTACGTGGATCCACACCGGAGGATAAGATCACTGCTTCCGATTCTATCATATCAGACCCGCAGGCTATCCGCTGCATCGCCGAATTCATGCTGCAAACAGGCTTGCTCGAGCAGTTCAGTCAGGTCGAACTCGATCCTGACCCGGATGCGCCTGACCAAAGCCAGGAACATGTAGGCCTCAGGGCCAAGGGGATAGACGCCGAAGAGGCTGGGTAGAAGGTCTGAATGGCTTGGTCACGTGACCTGATCATTCTCTCTCTGGCTCCACGTTTTTCCCTCGGGCACGTATCTCGAGCCATCTGATCGCCCATATAGCCGAGTTCTTTGTGGTAAGAAGCGGAATACTTAGATTGCTGGGTCACAGTGAAAAGATACCTTCACTGTATCCCACCTGATACAAAAAGATAATTGTGCCCCCCCAGTCCTATATTCGGCTTAGCTTTGTTTCACCTCGGGGTTGTTGAAACAATCAAACAATATAAGTGATGACACCAGTATTCAGAAAACCCTGTACCTTTGACAGTCTGCCTTCTACTGACTATCTGCCGAAGACCAGAGAGTTTCATCTCGAGTCTTCTTCGGTTTATTCAACGTCAGCAGTATAGAAACCATCGTTCTATGTTGCTGTTGATGGTGGTGGGAGTGGATAGACTAAGTCACAGAAGCTTTCCAGAAGTACTCCTTTTCGAACCGTAGTGTGCTCGCACTCGCCCAGCCCCCAGTCTTTCATAATCTTCCTTTCCTGATGTTTTTCGTACTGCAAGTATATAGTATTCCTTGTCAGGGTCATCGTTATCATCATCTTCACTGACCCCGATGACAGCACAGTCCTGAGACTTAACCTTGACCGCCGAATCCATATCGAAGTAGAGGAAGCCAACTTTATCTTTACTGCGGAATATCATATGCTTCCCATTCTTTCCTTTCGTATAACAACCTTGAAAATGTCGAACTTGGATATTGATGCCGTGCTCTGACTCGTCAAATCCTAGGCTGTTAGGTCTTGGAGCCCTGAGAGGTAAATATGTCAAAAAGTCGATTTCTCCATCATAAAACATCAAGACCATGAGGGTACATTTTTATCCTTGTAACGAATAGGAGCTAAATGCTTGCCAGCCCGCTTCCACAAGAGAAACCGAGGAAGAATGCAATGGATGACTCCGAAGCTGACTTCAGTAGATAAAGCATTTGCAATACGCTTAGTTATGCCAGAAAATGCAGCGACCATGTCTTTTTCTGGATAGGTAAGATCACGACAGGAATCATCAGTGACAAGCTGTTAGACAAATGAGGCTGTCGATCCATAGCCTGAAGTTAAGAGGCTTTTAGGAAATTGTGGATCAAGCAGATATAATCTGGTACTGGACTAGCACGATTGGTGTCAACCAAGTTTCACCTAATATAAGGGGAACTTACCATCTTGGTTTGCTGAAATTCTCGCAACGAACACCATGTACACCCAGTATGTCTGATGTAAAGTAAAATAGATGGTTCGGCGAGAAAGTGCTCTTTCTTGCAGCACTTATGCCCTTTTATTCAATGAGTTTTTATCAATAAACTCACGGAAATCATCAATGTCTTTTGCATTAGAAGTGGCTCCCTGTGATCGTCCGCAATCCTGAGTGCGATCAAGGAACCCGTCATTCCAACTAGATGCTGAACTCGACGCGATAGTGCAGTATGCGGAGGCGAATATTTATTCCATTCTTGCACCTTCCCTCTCCCAATCCTCCCTGTCTCCCTGTTTGATACACAGCGCATCAATCCAGAGATATTGTTTGTTAAGTTCTCGGGTCACTGTGATAAAGTCTTGGAAAACCTTTGGAAGGCTGCGATAGCTGAACCCAGTCAATCGTTCATTATAATGTTCAGGTGTGGTACAGAATTGCTTCTTCTCCCCATCTGTCGGTTTGCCCCAGCAGTGCGATAATGATATATAGTCAAATGGGTGTGTTAGACCTGCTGACAGCTGAAGTTGCAGCTGATCTGAGTGATTCTTTCCCACAAAAATAGCGCGTGATGGCACAGCCTGATGTCTGTCAATGCATGAATGCTGCTCGTCACACATCTTAAGCCATTGACAGAGCAAATGAAAGCGATTAATAATCGGTAAACAATGATGGTGGGTACTTCTTGGTCTCTTGTATTTATCTTTCAGTTCTGTTTTTTTCCGAAGTATTCATATTGAATAAGAGGCAAAACAATCTGTCAGGGAAAAGTAAATATTACCTGGGAGGCATGGGAAACGCGGAATGGAAAAGAGGACTTTTGGTATGCTAAGGCATGCATTTTTCTTGGGTCTGGGAACCGAGTAATAGCTAGTAATATCAGGGTTGGGCTCTGAACGGTAGCTTGAAGATTGTGTAGCGGCAGAGTGGAGTCTGTCCACGCTAATATAAGCATTCATGTTGACTGGGTGAACCCAGTAATGGCCAGTGATCTCACGACGATTTAGCTTGCATTGTATCAAGGATATTCAGGATTCTGAAGGCTTTGGAGACATATACCTCGGAGACAGTTCTAGGATGGTGGAGCAGTGCGTGTATTCCCATCACTGATTCACCTTCAGGAGGAAAAATAAAGTTGGTAATCTCAGTATCGGTTTCTAACACCCAATCTTCCTGAAATTGCAATTAACAAAAGTAGAGATGGTAGGAAGTAATCGCGTGATTTAAGGAAGCTGTTTCCTTAAAAGGCTGACTTACACGCTATACCAGTATCATACCCCAGTCAGTTATTATCACGCCTGATGTACTCTTTATAGGAAGGCCAACTTACTTCCTATACCGGTATTTTATCCCAGCTAATAATTACTATATCTGAAGTTATTTTAGGCTGACTTACTTCCTATGCCAGCATCATGATCAAGTCAGCTATTAGATACCTGATATAGTCTTTGCAGAAAAGCTGACTTACATTCTATATCAATATCATATCCAAGTCAGCTATTATGTACTCTTCAGGGGAAGGCTGACTTACCCGCTATACAGCTGATCCGGAAACCGGTATCACCACTTACACTCTTTGATTTCAGTAACCCCAACGCGAGTACACGCTAGACGAAGCTTGGCAGTAGATGAAAGCATGGATCGGTGTAACATTACAGTATACTGTATTGACATGTACTACGTAAGGTGGCATTTACTCACTTGTCAATTGACATACGACTATCTAAATTGAAGGCAAGCGGCGAACTAGAGGCTATTACTGAATGATCCAGAGATCACAGAAGAGTTTATACTATACATAGCTAAGACCAATAGGCTCACACATCTGAGGCCCTCCGTTTCGAAGAGACTAAAACATAAGCAAGAACAATACATACCTCCAAAATATGTACCGTTGATTGTAAAAACAGTGTCACCCCTAAGGGATTTTTTTTGTCTCCCAAACCCTATGCTAAGAAAGCACTTCACCTCTTTTGTCACACGCCCGAAAAGTTTACTGAAGGTGGCGTATTATATGGCATGAAAGTCACATGATTCTCAATACTGTATTCAGCTATACAAGCAGCTTCTTGATACCACGTCGTGGCCAAATGATCTCCCTGGTAGATCATCAATCCTGATTAACCATCAGTGATTATCATCAACCATTAAGATGGCGCCACCACTTGCACAATCCACTAGAGAGATGACCTTAGATATAATGATAAGCAATGAGCTCATTGTACCACAGATGCCCAAGGCTGCTAATTCTTACAAACAAACAATTAAAAGCATTGCTCTAACATTCAAAATAGCAGTGTGAGCGTATTATTCAATATAGATAGATAGCCACGAAGTCTTACCTTTCTTATAATCTAAGTCCTTTGCAATCATTTACTTGAAAAGCCCTAATCATATTCTGATAAGATAATTATTTTCCTATGGGATAAATCCAGGTACTAGTAATAGAATGAAGTATTGAAGTATTTATCGTGCACTGAAATAGAAGGATTAGTTTAAACAAAAAGATTACTAAGCAAAAACCTAGGAACTGCAACTCAGATCTATGTGTTATTTATTTTTATTCTATTTTAAAAATTTCCTCTTATTATCTGATCTGTGTAGACAGATCTGGATATGATAAGCGGATAGGATCCTAAAGAACAGGCTGGGCACTCTGTGGTATTATATCTTCTCAAGTTACTAAAACTTATTATAACCAGTGGTATTAGATTCTTTAGTGATATCCAGAATAGGATCATTCTATTCCGCATGTATTAAGGTTTAATAGACTTCTCATATTTGGAAAACTTTATTAAAGAGCTGCTCTATTACTATAAGAAATGACCGGTGCCAGGGTCTGTTCTTATTATAGAGAATATCTTCTTTCACGACTCACGACTCTGAGAAGATTAAGTATTTATAGTCACAGGCAGGAGCCAAGTGCGATGGCGAGCGGCGTTCGTAGGCACATGACTGGGTCACATGATGTAGTTCTGTTTGCTTTGTTTGTTTCGCTTCGTTCGCTTACTTTTGTTGTTTACACGCGTTCCCCCACACTTCCTTCTTTCCCTCCTCATGTTCGATATTCTAGTCTAGATGCACCAAATAAGACATATTTGATCGGCTCTCACATTAAGTTAGTATATCTACCTTCTTACTTACTAGACTTTGTTTTATCCAGCGGCATTAGAAATCATATGAATAGAACCCTGACCAAGCCTTTGAGACTTTTCTTGAGTGATATATTGATACTTTGGGTAGAAGAAAACTAAATGCAGAAGGGCAGTTTTGCAATTCAGGCCTGATCATCGAATATTTATGTTTTCCTATGTTCGTTGCGTTGACCATAGAATTCAATGTATATATATATATGTATGTATATAGATAATAAGATACAATAATTTCTCTTTATCGGATAATAGACGCTTTACAGGATTTTGGATATGAAGTCTCAAACATAACAAAACAAATTACTGGAAACAAAGTCTGGGAGCGCTAAATCTAGCTAGATTATTCTTGCAATTTATCAAATAAGTAAATGTTGCTCGATGTGATTTACCCGCTGGTTTGCTGAGAGTCTGGCAGGCTTGTTCGTAGGTGTTGAGAGAGGAGCTTAATCATCTGATATCTATTAAGTCCAAAGTTCTCTGTTGCTCTTTTTACTACCTCTTCAGATATATATTGGCTTGCTTTTTGGTGTTGAAAGAGAAGCTTCATGATTTCATAACCACAGGATCCAGGATTCCCTGCTACTGCCTTAAGCACTTCTTCAGAGATTGGTAAGCTGGCTCCTCGGTGTTGAAAAAGAAGCTTCATGATTTCAGCTCCAATTCCATAATATGCACTATTCCCTGCTGCTGCCTTGACCACCTCTTCAGAGATTGATAGGCTTGCTCCTCTGTGCTTAAATAGAAGATTCATGATTTCAGCTCCGTTTCCATCGTCTCCAGTATTCCCTGCTGTTGCCTTGACCACCTCTGCAGATATTGGTAGGCTTGTTCCTTGGAGTTGAAAGAGCAGCTCCATGATTTTGTATCCACAAGATCCAGTATTTCCTGCAGCTGCCTTAACCACATCTTCAGATATTGATAGACTTGTCCCTTGGCGTTTAAAGACAAGTACTATGATTTGATATCCACAAGATCCAGTATTCCCTGCGGCGGTCTTAGCAATATCTTCTGAGATTAATAGACTTGTTTCTTGGTGTTGAAAGAGCAGCTCCATGATTTTGTATCCACAAGATCCAGTATTCCCTGCTGCTGTCTTAACCACATCTTCAGATATTGGTAGGCTCGCTCCTTGGTGTTGAAAGAGAACCTCCATGATTTCATGTCCACCAAGACTGGTGTTCTCTGCTGCTGCCTTGACTAGCCCTTCGGTAATTGGTATTTTTGTTCCACCCTGAGAAAGCAGACGCTCTACCGACCCGCCTTTAGAGCCTCCCAGCTCCAATAATCCTTTAACAATATCTTCCATGATGAGCGCCATATCATGTAATCGTCTTTTGTGTTCCCGAGGCTCCTCTCGATATTCAGGGACTCTCATATTAAGATCAGTTGGACCTTGTGGCCCATCCTTGCTTTCAGCATTACCCAGGGGTATTTCCCAGGTAAGAAGAATAACATAGGTGGGGCTTTCTTCATAATGCGTTTCGTGATGAAACTTTTTATCCCAACTCCCTTTCTCACAGCTTTGCTGAGGTATCACTATTGCCTTGACAATTATGAAACAGTCTCTGCATAGTCTAATGATGCTTGGCTTTGAGGCCCCTTGCAGAAGACAAACAATATCACCTTCCTGAATCGCCGTCGCGGAAGCTTGCAGTATCCATTCAGTCCCCCATATTTTTTTAAAGCTCAACGATTGAGCAGTGTTGGTGAAGAGAATGTTAATGCGTTGTTGTCCATAGTCAGCAATGCCTCCTTGAATGGATTCAATCTGACCTAAAATCCATCCCTCGCCCTTGATAACTGCTGTTTCTCTACCGGACCAAGTATCCACAGAGCATTTCCTTGAGAGAATGTATGTAATAGTCTGTTTAAAGACCTCGTTCCATGGGAGGTCATAGTTTGGTTTTAGAGCACCCGTACTAGGGTCATCAACACTGAGGCCTAGTAAAGCATAAATTTTGTCATGCTGGTTGGTAGCTTGGTGAGAATGATACATGTCGATCAATTCACCTATGGAAAAGGTCCCGCGTGAATCAAGCTCATATTTTGGCCGAAAGATGGCGCCCCGTATGAGATGTATGACTGGGTGAACGAGTCTTAGTAAAGGGGAAGTAAGATCCAATCTACTGAGACCTTCACAGAAGACATGCCCGTTTATCTGGACAGAGCCACACATAATGGAAATACATCGCGCGACACCAACTTCTTGAAGCACCTGTTTTGATAGGTCAGAAAGAGAGAGAGAGAGATATATATATATATATATATGAACTCTGATGTATTTTCTTACCCAAATACGGCGAAACCAATTTCGCTGCAGCAACTTCAAGCACGCATCATAATTTATATTCCATTCCTGGGGACTGGAGGGTCTGTCTTTCATAGCCTTGTCTTCTGCAAGGCAGCGAATACTTTCAAGTGCTTTGTTACCATCTTCTATGGCCTCTCCAAGCCAAACAATGACGCAATTAGCCTGTGCATATATTGTCCGCATAAGAGGAATTTGCTGATTCTTCTCTTCTCCATCGTGCTGGTTAATACAGATTGCATCAACCCATAGTGTTCTTCCAAGTTGATAATCTCGGAGGTGAAACAGTGCGGCATAAAGGTTTTTTGTAACCGGAAAAGTACAGTCATTCAATATGATTGACTGAGATTTTATGTCACTACTTTCTCCGTCACTGCGCCATACATAGGAAAGTGCCTCATAGAGGTGTCTTCCATCTCCAGTATCAGAGAAAGTATAGTTGAAGAGCTCGCATTTGATCGGGGCGTTCTTATGGTGATGTGGTAAAGACGAATCATGCGAGTTGTACTAGACCCCGACGGAAGCTTCGGATAGGCATAAGAGAACATGATCGATTTAGGTTCTCGTATTGGAATGAATGAGCAATATCCGCACACTTTTGAAAGTGCATCATAGCAGAGTATTGTTATTGTATCTAGGCTTGTCAAACCCCAACTATTTTAAATTAGACAAAGCTGGGACACATAGCTCATTGTACGTGACTGATTTAAGTGGGGTGGGTATAGATTGATTCACTTATGTGGCTGGCTTCTATAGGCTGGCTTGTCGTCTCACTTAATTTCTTAACATTGATAGGCAAAGCAAGCGTTGGCTCCGCCAAGATACCCCTCTAATCCAGATTTATTGGGCCAGACAACCTGCATGACGTCATTTAAATACAGTACTGCATAATACATGGTAATCTGGAATATCATTGAGCCGTACGGTTTCCTATTGAGCACTGTTGAGGGAGGGTGTGGGCCTTCGGGCCGACTTTGATCCGGCCTGCTGGCCAGGCGGGATGCCTCCTTCCGCCTACGGCTCGACCACCCGTAATCTCCTGAGCACCTCTCTGGTTCCTGTTTTCTAGCATCATCAAGCATCAATATAAGCCTCGTTTCTAGTTGTTCAACCAGCCATACTGCTTCGTTTGACTCTGCGGTCCTCGTATCTCTCAGTACTAGCACACCCTTGGCAGGGCAACTTGGAGAAGATTGGTCAAGATTCAGTCCCAGATGATCATCCTATTTACTATTCTATCTACTACTGTTACTACAGCAGATCTGGACCAGGTGGCGGAGAAACTGATTAGCTTTACTGTCGCCGCCCTTAATCAACATATCCTGAGGCATCGGCCATCGCCATACTCTAAATGGTGGTTAATCTCTGCACTCAAGGTCCAACAGGTTGGAGTTAATCAAGCCTGCTGAAGATGGCAGAGTAGCTGTACAGATCTGGGATTGTAATATTCCAGTCCCGGAGGCCCTCTTTGCAGATATGTAAGGAAAGCGCTGGTAGTGGATGTGAATAATTGAAAAAAACCAAAGCCGCACACTGGAAGGACTATCTAGATAAAGCTGGAGAAGGGTACCTGTGGAAAGCGGTGACTTATATGCGCCCACGGGATGATTATGCCACTTTTCCTGCATTGAATATCAGTTCTAGGTGAGGTAGTAGATAATGAGATAAAAGCAAAAGTCTTTCTTGATTTTCTTCTTTCTTAAGATGGCAGACACATACACAGAACTTAAGCAAATGTAGATGCAGACGCAGACTTAGAGTGCTTAGGGTTGCTAGTGGAGGAGATATAATGGGAACCGATCACTGAGCTGGGGGTCCAGATCAGTTACGGCTGCTAAAGGAATTACTGCTCTCGGCAAAGATGGAATCCTGATCTTGGTTTGGAATAATCTATGAGCCTATCTGAAGATACTAATTATCTATATATTTACCAAGTCGGTCGAACTAGGTTACTATCCTGGCCGATGGAAAAGAGCAAAATCCATGGTTCTGCAAAAACTTGGAAAGGCTGGCTATACAGTCCCTGGAGTATACCGACTGATTTCATTGCTGAATACTCTGGGGATAATACTGGAGGCAGTAATGGCCAAGCGGCTGTTGTTCTGGGCCGAATCACATAGGCTGTTGCCAGGGATGTAGTTTGGAGGATGGTCTGGCTGAAACACGGGGCAAGCACTACTGGTCCTTGTAAATATGGTTGATCGAGCATGGCTACAGCTGCGATCAAGGGTAGTAATGTTTATCGCCTTTGATCTCAAGGGGGCCTTTGATGGAGTTAATAAGACTAACCTGGAAGCATGTCTGCGAGCTAAAGATATTCCCATTATTGCCAGACAGTGGATCTATAGCTTTATGGAGGACTGATATGCAAGTCTTGCTTTCGATGACTTGAAACATAATCATCAGTTAGAGAATGTGGGTCTAGCCCAAGGCTTGCCCCTGTCACCGATCTCTTTACCTTCTTCAACTTGAATCTGATAGATTAACCAGTGGATGGCAAAAGAGGAGCATCCGCCTTTATTGACGATCATTTCCGTTGGCAAGTAGGTCTGTCGGCGGAGGAAAACCTCAAGAAGCTGCAGGAAGAAGACATCCCATGTATTGTAAAGTGTGGGCCCGACGGACTAACTTATACTTTGCAGCGGAGAAGACAGCTAAATTTGTGGAATGAGATCACGTGATCTAGCCTAGCCACCTAGTCACCACCTCGCGTAGTTAGCTAGCTAGCCTACACAATGTCATCCATATTGCTGTCACAAATTTATTTGATGAGAAACAAGAAGGAATATAATTAGGGAGAAATCACCATGAGTGGTAAGATCATCAAGCCCACCGCAGTGGTAAGACTCCCTGGGGTCATCTTTGACAGAGAACTGCGATGGAAGAAACATGTCTAGTAAGTACTCAATTGAGCAATTAAAGTTAACATCACACTAGAGGGACTCCGGTACCTACAACTGGAATAGATGAGATAACTCTACCAGTGGAAGATTATGCATCTACTGTGTGGCACAATTCTCTAAAGGATAAGATCTACCTGCAGCAGCTGGCAACTATCCAGCGAGCTGCTCTGATATGGATTCTTTCTGTTTCTAGAATTGTATCTATACAGGCACTCGAAGTAGAATTTTATATACTATTAGCTTTATTACGGCTGAAATAAATGTCCAGCTTGTCGCAGCCAGCCTAAGCACAATGCCAGAACATCACCCAATCCATGAGGTAATGGCCCGAGTAAGGACCCGCAGCATATACCTCGGACATCATTGCTACTTCCCGCTGGCTAAGACACTATGATCAATGGACCTCCGCCGCCTGCATGCCCTGGAGATAATTGATCCCGCCCCACTAGCGCCCTGGTGAGAGCAAACATTTGCTGAGATTGAGATTGAATCTGACCGGGAACAGGCAAAGGAAAATGCCGCGGCCAGATGAGATATGCCCGGAACTACAGTTTTCTCCGATGCATCCGGCCAGCAGAACCATCTAGGGGCCGCAGCTGTAGCTCTCAACAGAGACCTGCAAGCCTCGGAGTGGCAAGTCAGTATTGGTTCAATAGAACATTGGTTGGTCTACGCAGCCGAGCGCATGGCAATCTTCTACGCCATCAGCCTGATTTATTTAAGTAGCTCAGAAGAGACAAAGCTGATTAGACAGAGTGAAACAGCCTGTAACCATTCTAAGTGATAGCATGTCAGCGCTACAAGTGATCCGTAACCCGTCCAATAAGTCCGGCCAGCGAATCATCTGAGCCATTCTGCAGGCAGACTCTGAAATGAAAGCGTGAGGGGTTCCAAAGTTCCAATTCGCCTCCAATGGGTGCCAGGACATTGTAATGATCCCGGAAACGACGAGGCTGACTGGCTGGCAAAGGAAGTGGTAGGCCCGACGAAAATGCAGCCCTTTCAGCCCTTTCTCTTGCGGAAAAAGGGCTTTATCTGGAAGAGAATTCTAAATGAGTGGAAGGACGAGTGGGTCAAGTCTCCAAAGAGAGGGCACCTTCACCAGATCGACAAAACCCTACCGGCAATCTGTATCTGAAGGCTGTATGGATCGCTCTACAGAACCGAGCATATCTACTCAAACAACTTCGGGTAGGTCACTCTTGGCTGGCAACGTACCAGAAACAACATGGTTTCCAGGACGATGACAGATGTGTCTGTGGAGCTCGTGAGACGGTAGTCCACGTACTGGTGGACTACCCGAAACTCAAATACCTGCGACAACAACTGCGGAGGAAGATTGGAGCTGCGTTTACCAGCATTTCAAACATGCTAGGAGGGCAACAAGGTAAGGAAGGTAAGGCACAAGGCGCTGAACAAGACCACAGTACCCTAGGGGCTGTACTGGACTTTTCAGAAGCGTCCCAGAGGTTTCGAAGTCGCGCGCCGCGGGGGCCGCAGAACAAAACACTAGGCGACTAGGCCAATATAGGCCTCGACGAGGCTCCAAATTCGCCAGGAAAGTAGTGGTTCAATGCATATAAGAAAAACATAGAGATAGGTAAATAGGGAGATCCTGCATATCGCTTTAAATTGCGAGGGGTCAGAGTATGAATACACACACACACACACACACATCTGTACTGCAAATGAATGGTACTTCCACTGCCTCTATCTCACCTGAAACTGTGTCCGCGCTTTTCTTCATGAATGGAAGAATTTCAATGAGGAGGTTCTCACGGCCTGTGCATCCTTGGATTTTTCTCAGTCTGTTACCACTACCGATGATGTGAATGAGACATTTGCTGTCGGTAGTGAGCTGGGCCTGACCGGCACAATCCCTAAGCATATATGTGGTGCAGTTACTAAGGCTCTCTCTTTTACTTCCCCATCTCACTTGAAATCTGGTGATTATCAGACAATAAGACCATCTGAATCAGACAAGATCCCTGATCTTGTCATGCTCACTGTACCACGCCATAAGATTCTACTTGTGGGTGAAATCAAGACATTCTGGACTGTCTTTCTAGAGGATTATCCGGTCACCAGTGGTTATGCCACATTTGTCAATCTCCAGCATCATTTCAGTAAACTAAAAAACTATTCTTTAAGATATGATTTAATAAGAAGTTATTTTAACATTTTCTAAAGGCCAGGTGGCTATGTACATGAGAGATCACGAGCTGAAATATAGCTTTCTTACCACATACAGAACCACGGTGTTTATTCGAAGAACTGAGAACTTTCGATTTGAGCTTTCTTTACCTATTGATGAACAATCGGTTAATCCTTCCTTGCGTCAGTGTCTTTTAGCAATGTGTATCTTCTCCTCGAGTGACACTTCTTATGTTGAGCCGCCGAGATTCCACCCAGAACAGGTAAGAAAATGCAACTTGGATTTAGCAAGGTATTTCTAGCTAATTTGAATATTATGATATAGAATCGTGTACCAGCAGAGATCTATTATCAGGCATCTACACAGCCATCCCCGTTTCGGCATCAAGTAAAAATCAAGGATAATACTTCAGGCGAATCAGTCGGACCAGAAAGCATCATTTTTCGTACAGAAGGTACTGATGTTTCGAAGATCATTAATTGCAAAGGTATTATACAACGGACTAAGGCAAGGGCCATATTTAATATTACCTGGGATGGTAAGCCAGCCATTGCTAAATGCTGGTCAGAAGGCTGGTATAAAAGGTCTGAAAAACAGCCCGTGGGTGTGATTATATGACTAATCTATCTTTATAACTAGTTATGCTCAAGAAACATCTGTTTATGTTCAGCTTGAGACCAAGAAACTGCACGGATATGATTATTTCCCCTTATTATTAAGCCATGGCGAGATTCGCTGTTCCTCCTCATTTCCAAAGGGAAATATGTTAATCATCTCCAAAGTCCAGGGTGAACCTCTGACTTCACAGTGGACTACTCTTTCTCCTAGTTCAAAACTTCATATTCATTCTGAAGTCTACAAAGCCATCAAGGTTCTCCGAGAACTTTCACTTGTTTGCATTGATGCTGAGATGCACAATGTTCTCTATGACCGTGTAACAAATGCTGTTACTATGATTGACTTTGAGCTGATGCAGCCTGTGAAACCAGAACTTGTTAGTCCGGATCTCCCAGAGATGTATGCTAATTTCAGAAATCAGCTTGTCCAAGGACAGACTCGCGACTCAGGAGGGTAAGGAAGTATCTTCTGGTTCTTTATAGTTTAGCTAGAAATATCCTTGTTAGTTCCCGGAATTGCTTGCTCTTTTTTTTTTCCCTGAGCCTCATTGTGATGGCGAGCGGTGTTGTAGGCACGTGACTGAATCACATGACGTAGTTCTGTTTGCTTTGTTTGTTTCGCTTCGTTCGCTTACCTTTGTTGTTTACACGCGTTACACCACACTTCTTCCTTTCCCTCATGTTCGATATTCTAGTTTATATGCACCAAATAGGACATATTTAATCGACTCTCACACCGGAAACTTTTCACATTCAGTATTCACTGCAAGCTTATAATAGATGCGCGTTCTGAGTCTAGTCTTTTACCGGATAGCCAAGCGGTTAATTGTCCGGAGGATTCACTGCCTGAAGCGCACCAGGTTGGATCCTGACAATGGGTTGGCCTGTCAGGGCGGGGACTACGTTAAGAATATGAATATGAATTGAATTGATTTACTGCTGCTTCCAGCACGATTATCACAAAAACCTCTTAGATAAACAGTTTCAGTTGCATCTATCTGATCCTATTCATAAAAACTACCAGCACCCGGATAGCACTCGCATTCAGATCTCATTTGTCCTCAAATTGACTGACTCGATATTTGGGTCGAACCTTATCACTTAGATAATAAAGAACGAAGCTGTCCCCATCGGACTATCGGGCGTTATCATAAGACAGAAAGACTGCATCGATGCACTCCAGTACTGACCTTTTTCGCGGGTCATCCTTGAAGCTCAAGGGCAGGCGGTTGACGATAGTTTATGCGTAGATCTGATCCTGGAAAGATTCGTTGATCTTGGGGATCTATTAGCTGTGGTATATGTTCTGATCCTGTCTACGAGGCTAACGATGGGAGACCTCAAATCATTGATTCAGGGTGCCTCTGTACTATTGCTTCGCTTCTTCCTTATCTTCCGCTATCGTTAATTTGGCATGTCTTTCTGCAGCTACTTTGTTCTACATCACCGGACTAAATGCCGACCCTGACCTAAGCCAGGAACAAGTGGGCCTATTTATCAAAATGTATTCTTGTGTGATAATATTAGTATTACTACGTATTATGATGAGTTAGGTCTATATCGGATTCCTAGAACTCACCAAAGCTTATAAAAAGACTACAAGCTAGGGGCGTGCATTGTCAAGAAGGAAATGCATGACCTCAGGCCACCCAGAATTCACCATTTCCAGGACAGTCTGACCTGTCTCATCGTGCTGCGTGAGATCAGCTCCGCCTCCTTTCTTAACGAGCAGATGCAACAATGGCAGATCCCGATACTCAATCGCCTGCATGACGGCATTCCAGTTTCGGTAAGTTTTATTGGGGTCGGCACCCTTCTCAAGCAGAAGCTCAACCATGGAAAGGTCATTATTGATAATCCGGCGGATCGCTTTCACAAGAGGAAGATGCTCGCCGGGGGCGTTTGGATCGGCACCTCCTTCCTCCAGCAGGAACCTCACAATATCGTCATGTCGCTCTCGCAAAGCCGTAGTCAGTGGGGAGAAGACGCCACCGTTCTTATACTCGACATTGGTACCGGCGGCGAGCAGCAGTTTAATGCTCTCGAGCTGGTTGGCAAGCACGGCCATCTCCATGACGCCCTTGTGAGCAGAAATATCAGGGACCATCGGGAGCAGTTTCTGAAGCAGAGCCGGAGACCGCACGGCCATGCATACAGGCCAATCCTGCCCGCGTTGAGCTGGGTTGGCGCCATGTGCGAGCAGGTAGCTGAGCATATCCGACCGGTTCTCGCGGATGGCGGTGGTTAGTGCAGTATGACCTTGTGCGTTGCGGTCATTCACGTTCGCGCCTCCCTGCTCAACCAGCCACTTCAAGGCCTCCGTGTTGTTGACTTGCACGGCCAGTTCTACGATTCCAGGTGGTTGAAAAAGGTCAGCCCCAGCGGCGACCAAGACGGGCAGGAAATGGAGTCGGTTGTGGGTAATGCATTTCCAAGCGGGATACTCGGACGCCATGACGTTTGGGTTCGCACCGTGTTCCAGCAGCAGTGTCAAGATGTCGGCCCGATTGTCGCGAATGGCGGAGCAGAGGGGAGTATAGGTACCGTCCTTCTTGGCATTCGGATCGAGCCCAACCTCCAGCAGCGTACGAACGGCTTCGATGTTATTCATGCTGGTCGCCTGTTCCATGAGACCTGGGGTCTTTTTGATATCGGCCCCGCTGTGTAACAGAAGACGCAAACATGCTGGCCGAAAGATAGCTAGCCATAGGACATGCTCGGGTCCAGGGAGATTCGGATTGGCGCCATGTTCGAGCAGTATCGTTAAGACGGCAACCTGCTCGGTCTGCACCGCCTCATTGAGTGCTGTTCTCCCTTGGCAGCCCTTCTTGTTTGGGTCGCTGCCGGCGTCAAGTAACATAGTGACTAGCTTCGGTGGCGCCCGTTGTCTGATAAGCTCGATAAGCACAGTGCTACCGCTTGGGGTTTCAGTATCTGCATTGCTCCCATGCGCAAGCAGCTGCTGCACCATATTGAGCTTGCCCTTCGCCAGTGCACGACTCAAGGGAGAGTCTCGTCCCGGCTCTGATGCATAGTTTGGGTTGGCGTGATACTTTAGCAATAAGTTCGCCCCGTCGACGAATGACTTATCCACTGCGACAAACAAGGGCGTCTCTCCCTGCCGGTCTGGTTCGTTTGGGTTCGCACCAAACTGCAGAAGTAGGCGCATGCCCTGGAAATCGTGCTGGTGCACGGCCTCGTTGAGCGGATGGATATGCTCCCCAAGATTGGGCGACACTCCACTGTCCAGCAACTGCTCTAGCAACTTGTGGTTCCGTCCCCGGACGGCAGAGGCTAACGCACCGCGCAATCGCGTCGCACTGGCTCCACTATTTCGGCTAGGGGTGCGATGCAGGGGTTGGGCTGAGGACTCATATAGCTGGCGATGTGTGAGGGTATCCCCAGATATATTGTGGTCGAGAGGTGTAGCAGATTCCGCTTGCGGCTCGCGCGAGCTCGTTCGCACAGGATTTCCATTTGGTCGCAGAGGCTGAGGACGAGAGTTGACTGGGGGAAAAGAATGACCGTCCTGGCCATTGTCGTTCGTAATAAGGAGGGAGTCAAGAGAAAGCACAGAGGAGAGTATGTCATCGGCATTGGACGGGGGATTTTCTATCCCAACCGAGAGTTGTTCTGGGAATTCTTTGGGGGGCACAGAGGGGACTGACGCTGATGACAACGAAGTAGCCACCTCCTTCGATACCTGTTCCAGAGATTTAGCCTTATTGATGCCCATTACCGACCGGCCTTTGGCCATGCGGTCCAGTGCGGCAGCCAACCCGGCGTAGCCGATGCCCACTGATTCCGCCATAAACGGCTGTTCCCCAAGGGACCAGTGAAAGGCGAGGACGCTGATTTGAAGTGTTTCGGTTGTCTTTTTCAACGACTCGCGAATGCGGTGCAGTTCGAGGCTGGGGCGATTCCATCCGCGTTGAAGCCTGCCAAGGGCACCACGATGTTCATACTGGATGAGTTTAGTCACGACCTTGTCCAGACTCTGAAAATCACGATAAGCGGCCATGAACTTTTTCGCCACCTCCTCCACGATCACATCGGGCAGGGCGCGACCGGCAGCAGTGGATTCGGTGAGACCAGCATCAATGGCCCATAAAGCACGGCAAGTGTCTAAGAAAGTCTGTGACAGTTCGCGAAAGCCGTTCGGCAAGTCGTGCTCGGTGCTGAGGTAGTCCAGCATGTGCACCGAGATGCGATTGCCTAGCTGAGTGGCCTGAGCCGAAACGGTGAAAACGGCCTTTTGAGCTGCCATGGCTTTTGAAGAAGGTAATCTGGCAAGAAAGGAAGATAGAAACCGGGGAGAAGGGGAAGAGGGGAACCCCCAGACAGAATCGATGCCGGAAAAAGATTTCAAATCCTAGGAGGGAGGGAGTGAAGGGGGATCGGGACGAGTCCACGCGCTAATCACAAGTAGGGCCATGGTGGTGGAGGAACCAACCATGAGGCAGGCACAGCAGCGATACCTTTCACTGTTCCTGTCCTGCCGGGATGATGAATGAAAGTAAAGTTCGGCGGACTCAAAAGGCTCCCCTGGATGGTGAGAACTAGAGGAGTGGGACCTTCGGCCCAGACCGAGCCGGCTGGAGCGTTCAAGGACATTATTGATAGACAGCCTCCTCCGGGTCCCACTCCAATGCTTTAGGTTCACTCAAGTGGAGTCCGACTGCCTCAAAGAGGTGGTAATTGACTGGGTGAGACATGCCGGTTCGCGATTCATAAGCCGGTTGCGATCCTTGGAGGTTTCGAGAGGGGGACTAAGTTGAAAGGCTGACGCAGGAAATCGATGGGCTCAGATAGGAGCCGGGAGTCAATCGAGACGGTAGATAGATTTTACTGCCTCACAAGTTCTCATCCACCTTCATTGCAGAGGGCGTCTCTTTTATTTTGTGGAGATTAGTGGGGCCATAATGTAGGAATGGTTGTGCAGAAGGTGAATGTGCACGTCGTCTGCCCTCCGTTCACCATATCAGACATATCAGTGTTGTAAAATCAACCAGCTAACAACATATATACACACACGTTCCAAGTAACTATGGTATAACAACCACTTTCTTTCCCTAGATCATTTCTTATTTTAGCTTACCGATCACTGTTGTTGTTTCTCGACACAATGGAACATCTGATCTATGCAACCTCCGCCTTCTAGTAGTACGTCCACCTATACTCCAAAGCTGAAACTGGACCATTCCCTCTATCGCCAGCAATGTTGCCTGGGCTCTGTGTATCCTTCTCTTGATCTTCAAGGCTTTCCTCCTTATCCTACTCAGATATTATACTACAATATACGTACCCGATGTGTACGCAACGCATGAGATGGCTGAGTCCCAGAATATGACTTGTACCCATAGATGGGGACTTGACAACCGCCCGTACAGTCCGATAAGTGGTATCGACACGTGGATCGCGATTTATCGGCCCGTACAATGTGAGTTGTCTTTTAACAAGTGGGGTAGGGTGCAAAGTACAAGTGATGCGGATACGGAAGTGCTGTTAGCTTCGCAAGCGGGGCCAGAATGCCTGCGAAGTAAGGGAATCTTTGTTCTGGTAGTCTTGCGCCCGCGTTTAAGTGGTGGTGACGGGTCGATCGGTGGGCTTTCGTGCCCCTGCATCAACATCGTGTCGCGAAAATCATCCCCTCTGCCGTTTGCTTCCTCCTCGCATGCTCCATGTTGAGCTGGAATTCCGGCATCCTGCAGCTCATGTAGTGCTACAAGTACTGAGTCGGTACATTTTTTATGGCGTAGTTGACATCCTTGATGGTTGTGCAATGCACTGGATCCCTGCGCATGTCGGGGTCGAAGGGAACGAGGCGAAGCGGGCGGCGGTAGATAAGCGGGACCGGGACGGGTCAACAGACAATCCGGCTCGTCTCCGCTGCCAAGAGGGGCGTTCGCAGCAAGTTCCAGAATAGATAGGCCAAAAGTAGTTGGGAGAGAGGGCAACACAGCTGGATCTATAAGACTTCCAGTCAGTATCCCTTCTAGACAGATCCGTCTGCTGTATAAACGCAAGCGCGGAAGTTGACTGATACAGATTTAAGTAGAGAGAGACCATGACACTTTAAATTAATTATATCCTCCTACTAGTATGCCCCCATTTCAATTGTGAGGTTATGATTGGGAAGATTCTTGATAAGACTGCCGTATGTATGGGCGTGGGGGATAATGTTATCGATTGTAAATTACTCAAATCGGACCCGCAGGAGAGCTGCTATGTTGCCGAATTTATATTGCAAGAGAAGCTTGCTCAGGCAGTTTAGTCAGGTTGAACTTAGACTCTGAAACAGGGCCTGACCCAAGCCACGAAGACGTTGGTCTCAGGGTTATGGGGATAGATGCTGATGACGCTGAGTAGAAGGATCCATAAGTACATGCCCTGCTTGAGTCAGCGGGGAAGGTTACGTGTAACTACTAGATGGAACAAGCATGTTAGAAGCAAGAACATGGGCGAAGAATGGAGAGGAGGCAGCCGATTGAACAGCTGTGACACTCATTTATATTTCTACATCTTCTGTGTGGCTACACTTTGCTTTCGTAGCGTACTCGGTTGTATTCAGCTGCGTCGACGACCTTCCCACGTCGCGGCATGCGTTGTTTAGTATGGGCTTCACGTGTTCACTACTGCGAGGATTGCGGGATTTGACGGCGTTCAGAGCCATATTCTTGCTTCAAACGATAATGCACTTGCATAGCTAGCATCTTACCTTGGCGGGCCCGATCAGGTATAAGATTAAGTACTGATATGAAATGAAATGAGTATAGTATAGCATAGTGTTTGAGTATACCTCCCGTAGAGATAGATATACCTATATAGACAGTCACACCATCAGATTCTCGACAACCGGTCCATGCAAAGAAACAAACCGAAACTCCAACACCGATGCTCCACATGCAGAAAAAGAACAGAAAATGAACCATACAACGATACAGTCCACCCTTACCTAATTTAATCCAACCAATCAATCCTAGTCCCTTCAAACCAGCAGAGAGATAAAGAGAGAAAGATGCAAACTATGCAAAGTAGTATGCTGCGACAAAACCTATACATGACAAGACAGAACACAATAAAAATCACTCAATCACGGTAGGTAGTTGTTACACCTGACCTGGATGATATTCTGCTCTCCAGAGGCGCTGATCACGAAAGCGGTGAGTTTTCCGCCGGCGACACAGCCGGTATCTATTCCCTTGGTATAGGTATTGATGTTGAGGCCTGTTTCGGAGTCGTGGCCGTAGATGACAGTGGTGGCTTTGACGGCGCCTGCGTCTTCGTCGTCATCATTGTTCGAGCTCTTAGAGCTTGAATAGCTGACAGATTGGTGTTTGTTAAAAAACTATACTGTTCTTAGTATTATCGTTTCAAAGCCACATAGTACTAAAAGTCATAAGGGAACCAACCTTAGTCCACATCATACCGTCCCGCTCTGGACTAGGCATATGGGTGTCCAAATCAAGGGTTAACATATTCATCACGCTGTACGGATCCTGATGATTCAGATCCACGCCCGGAATCAGTCCGCCATGCACGACCGCGACCTGTCCCATGGTAGGAATCTGTCCCACATTGAGGATAACTGGGCAGGCGTCTAGCCACTCTGATTGTTCGTCTGACAGGGCACGCGCAAGATTACGTTCATTTTTGGCCTGCTCTGTTGACTGACCATCGAGGTATTGATCGGAAGAGGTATCAGTCAACGTCTGGGCTTCGATCATGTTGTGGCGCATAACAAGGACGCGGTCTTCGTTGTTTCCACGCACACACGATGCGGAGTACTTTCGGGCAAAATCGACGACGTCAGTGCTGTTGGGGCCCTGGCTAATCATGTTTCCAGTAAAGATGAGGTGGTCGTTGGTCGGATCGAAGAGGAGTTCTTCAAGAAGGCGGTCCACTATCACCATAATTGTGTGTTAGCGACCTATGCATGCCTCCCAATACCATAAAGCGCATAAAGGAGAAAAGGGGGGCATACACTCAGCCATACATCCCTGCACATCACCCACGACAATCAGCCGTTCATCCCCCTCAGGCAAAAGCTCCTTATCCAGCTTTCCCACCTGCACAACATCATCAAACCCGGGGAAAGCGTTCGTTCCAAACCATCCACCGACTTCCTCCTTCACCTCTGGATCTAGCGCCCGCAACAACGACGCATGCTCCGCTAGCCGCGGAGAGAGGATATACAGCCATCCCAGCAGACACGTTATCACAAGGGTCAAGTACACCACGACATAGCGACGGAAGCGCGGCGCAGTGACAATAGACAGGAAGAGTTGGACGAATCTGGAGGGTTCAGAGGGCTGGTCGGGGTTGGCGAGATGGGAGTATTTGGCGTTAGTTTGCCATTCGTTGCGCACGTAATCGATTAAGGGCCTTGTGTAGCGCTTAATGCGACCCGTGGGGTGGGGAGAGAAGCGGCCATCATCAGAGGTGTCGGAGGAGTATTCCAGGCTTTCGGTGTCGTGGTAGTTGGTCATATTAGGAGGAGGGTTAAGTATGTGTTGTTTTGTCTGATTCCGGAGGACGAGTGGGGGGGATGATTGTGGGTGATGTTGAAGAGAATGCTGAATCTGAATGAGGCTATGGACAATGGACAGAAAGCAACGGAGAGAAAAGGGAAAAAGAGAGAAAGAGAATGTAGCGACGATCAGAACCGATCGACAACACGGCCTTCGATGTGGAATGGCAAGGGAGGAGGACACAGTGCGGGCCCAGCCGCGTCGGTGAAAGAGTGATAATGAAATGGCTCCAGATGGCGGAATGGAGCGATGGACCCAAGAAGTGGAAGGGAGAGAGGTCCAGTCTTGTGACGCCTTACTCGAAACAGGTTTCCCTGATCTAACCTGGTTGGGGTTAGTGCTAGGGTGCCGTCCCTCTTGGCCTATGCGCCACTAGTCCCAACGAGGGTTAGGTGTTCTATTATGGGCAAGACGCGACTCGTCAAGGGTCCAGTTTGTGCATCTAATGCGTATTGCTCTTACTCAGTGTGCGAGGCTGAGCAAATGGCAATCTGGATAAACTGGATAAGATACGCTGGACTGGTACTGCTATACATACCAAGATTCTCCGGGGTTTCCATTTGTGCAAAAATATCAAGTACCACCCGTGCTATATGCTACACATGTCCGTATAATATAGGAAACATACATCACCTCGTTAAGCGTCTCCGCTTTGTTAGCGATATTGCTCGTGAAACTCCATCTCCTGTTGGCGCTTCTGCACCGTTTCAATCGTCTTGACATCGTATACCTCCTCCAGCTTCTTGCCACCCAGAAGCACTTCCTTTTCATGGCGCGTAGCTTCATCTTTGGTCATACACACTAAATCCTTCAACTCAAGCAGAACAAATGTCTGTCCCTGCTTCATCCACTCCGGATCAGGTCCGAATCCTCTGTCAGGGCGCTTCCAGGGAACGAGACTGATTCGACTGGGCAGGCCACTGACCACACTCTTGCCGCGGAAGATCTCATCGACCAAATATCCAACATCATCCTTGCTGATAGGAAGGCGAAGCCCGACAAGGCTAGGTCCATACTCCGCCCGGGCCAAGCGCTCGAGCGTTCCCTGCAAGGCTGCCAAGACTCCATCGTACAACTTGTCACGACCCTTTCCACCCACGCTGTAGTCCATCGGATAGCCGGAGATATCGCAGATGACGTGATTCGCCACGGTGTAGCCAAACACTGCAGGCATTGTTCCCAACACAGGGAGGATTCGCGCCCGGAAATCGGGCAACACACTAAGCTCACCAACCTCACCCTTACTAAATTCTGCTTCGTTCAATGGGAGAAGAGTAGCTTTTCCAGGGCCGGGCTTCTCAGTAGAGAAAACAACAGGAATGCCTGTATTCACTCCCAACAACTTCAGGCGCCGACGAGTGCTCCGCGACAACGGGTCATCCGTGCTGAGTGAGATATCACCGACCGTAACGCGCGTTGGATCTGACTTGCATCCTGCTCCCATTGCCGAAATCACGGGAATTGAGTGTGAATGACAGTAGTGAAGAAGCTCCACCTTGGATGTAATGTTGTCGATGCAGTCGAGCACATAGTCGGGCTTGCGTCCTTTATCATGATCGTCCCAGGTCCAGGGCGCAAGAAGATTGTCGGCGACGGATCCCCCGAATAGTTCGTTCCGGCAGTCGAATTTCACCCATGATGTGATCTGCTCCAGTCTCTTGCGAATGCAATGTACCTTCGGCGTTCCGACGTCGGCCAGCGTCGCAAGAGCGTGTCGGTTCAATGAGGAAAGCGTAACCTGATCAAAATCGATCAAGCGGATCTTGGAAACACCCGAGCGGGCAAGGGATGCAACGGCATGCGATCCGACTCCTCCGCATCCGACCACGATTATGTATGACGAGCGGAGTCTCGCGAGGCCCTCATCAGATAGAAAGACACGGTTTCTGGCGAGTTGTTCGAGGATGAGCTCTAGACAGAGATTGAGTTAGCATAATGGCAAGTATCTCAAAAAGTAGCCAGTACCATCATCATAGTCTCCTTCCTGCGCCCTCCGAGCAAGAAGCGCACTCCTTTCATCTTCCTTGCTCAGCTGCGCTGCAGCCGCGACACCGTATTCTGTGAGCTTCTTATGAATTAGCCAAATCTAACATATCACGACCAGAAGATCCGAATACCTTCTCCGCATGGTGTTGGTTGTTAACATCCGGTATGGACGCCTTGAGGCGCTGTACTGCTTCCTTCCGTCTAAATGCCTGGTAGCCAAAGATTGCACCTGCGACCGCAGCTCCCGAAATCACGGCTGTAGCTGCAAGTTGTGTCTGATGAGATCCACCCTGGCGTTGGATCCAGGACGCCATCCTGATGTGTTTTTATATTGTATGCGCCGTCTCGTCTATATGCGATCCGAAATTGATTGTGGATACTCCAATTGAAATGTCGCGGCGATCTATAACAGGTTGGACGGTTTCTCACGCCGAACAAGTTAGCATGCAAAAGGCGCTCAAAAGCCAATTCCTCCGAACGGGAAAACTCAACATGATAAGCTCAAAAAAGCAGGGAAAGACTGTGCTGGACGAACGGTTACGTATTTCCAAGTGGGACCTCCAACACGGGTCACGTGCGCTTCGTGTCGACTACAGAAGCACGCGCTATTCCCGCGAAACTGCACACCACATGTATTTGGATATAGATCGTTAAACTCGACTTTACATTATTCATGGCTGATTTTATCACTTCTCGGGATAGCACTTTCCTACTCTCAATGACAATAACCACGCACGAAGTGCTTTCTCATGACACCTGTTCAATAATTCATAGGCAGTAAACTTCATCTTTCGGGGGAGACCGACTGGAAGATGTCTGATTAAGTGCAGATGATTAAGACTGGACAGAGAAATAAGAGACTCAAAGCTGCTCTTCTAATCCGTATACTATATATTCCCCTGTTCTTGTGGCACCAGCAAACCAGCAATGCCGCTTTCCTAATATTATCATATGGGGCCGTATCCTTATATTCGGAGATAGCCTGCTTTGCTCAACTCGCTATCACATTCTTCTTTTACCTCCTAAAACACTGACCAAATATATTATTTTTTATTGATGTAGTCTTCAACCATGATGGCATCACAAAGGGTTTCACGATATCTAGTTGCCCGTTGCTACGGCACAGGCGGCGGTCATTAAGATACTTATGCTCATTCGTTTAATCGTAGTCTATCAGTGCTAATGTGCAGTCAAGAATATCAATGTTGTCTATATACAATTTGAAAATCAGTATCCACCCCCAAAACACCGTGCCAAACACGCTGAACTCAATCGGCAGGAGAAACTGGGATACCCTCTGGTGCCGCCTCCAGAGGGCCTTGGGGTTTCTGCCGAGGCGGCCAGTTTGGCGCTGGGTAGCTGAGCAATTTACATACGTCCTGTCGACCATCATTAGCAACAAGAGCACACCAAATAGGCAGGAGGAATGAACAAACCCTTCGTTTCCGCCGGAAATCATCGTAGAGCTTCTTCCAAATCTCACGATCCTTGCACCCACTCTCATGCATCGTACCCGGCTTGACCTTACACTTGGGTAGCATGTCGGCCAGCAATTCCTGCGGCCACATCACCCACGGCTTGGGCAGCGGCCAGTCAGAGAAATGGACCAGCTTCGCCTCGGCTAGTACCTTTTCCGGATCCCACTCTTCGTGCTCATTACCCAGGAACGCCCGGTGGTCGTCTTTGCGAAACTCACCAGAGACCAGTCCATACTGTCGGTGCGGCAGAACCAATGCCGAATCCGCATACCGCTCGTTCATCAGTTCCATATCGTACCTAACTCGCGAGCTGACGTTCGAGTCGACCTGTCCGTACGAAATGGCCTGAGCCTTATCCATCAACGCATACCACTCTTTGTAGGACGGCTGGAGGACGATCAAGAGAGACGAAAGCTGCTTGATATCAGGCAGTTCCCAGTAGGCGCGGGGCATAGCGACTTGAGAGGGTGGCAGGAAGAACAATTCGTCCATGTTCTGTAGGACGCTAACGTCGGAGTCGATGTGGATAACACGTTCGAATTCGGTCTCTCCAAATGCAAGCAGTTTGGAAATACTCTTGTCCCAGGATTCGCTTGGTCCTATTCTTCCTGCATTAGCTCCTGACGCCGTCGGCAACTCCACCGTTGTAATAAATGACCTACCCGACCCAGCCTTAACCATCTGAACATCAATCGGCACCAACATCACATTGTATTTCTCCCTGGCCATCGCCAGCAGCTGGCTGTCCCGGTCGCGATCGTCATCTACCAGCACATCCCAGTCCTCGGGGTAAAAGAGCACCCGCTGCGCTCGGCTGCCAAGCCGTTGCAGGGTATCGAAGACGATAAGTGCATTGCACAGGTATGGGCTCGACGTCGCATACTGGCTGTAGGCGTAGAGCGACCAATCGACTCGGTCGTAATCAATATGAGGAAGGGGCGGCGACGGAGGTTTCTCTCGTCGCTGAGATAGGATAAACAGCACGAAGACGAAGATGGCGAGCCAGGCCCGCGGGCTCTTGAGATAGCGGAGCTGACGCTTGATGATCGACCAGCAGGGCTCATCGGGAATGTCGAAGAAGTCGGCTTCGGAGGCGTCTGAGCCCCGGCGATAGGGTAAGACGGGGCCTTTCTTGCCTGCCATTTTGAGAAGAGAGGGATCAATTGAGGGGAGAGGACATCTTTAGACAATGGTTGACGGGTGTTCACTGTCGTCGATTACTACTCCGCCATCTTCAGGGAGGCAATCGCCGCCATGATCTGGAGTAATTGTGCTGGTTGTGCTGGCTTTGTCAGCTATCCTGCGGATAAAAATAACGCCCAATCAGACCCCAGTGGGAATTTAAGTTACTTAGTAAGTAGTTACTTACTGTAACTAACGTAATCACCGATCGGGCGGGCCACACAATCGAGCGGGCCACCCCTTCGAAAACACCACCTTCAATCTCCTACCTGAGGCCTTTCAACCACCACAGATGCCACCAAAAACGTCTATCTCATCTAAATCACGGGTGGAGCAGGAAGGCAGGCTTCTCCTTGCCATTGAAGCTATTCAGCAAGACTAATTCGCTAGTATTCGCGAGGCAGCGCGTGCTTATAATGTCCCTTGAACCACTCTTCAAGCTCGATTAGCTGGACGAAGCTTTGTCAAAGATATAGTCAATACATGTCAAAAATTATCAAAAAACGAAGAGGATTCGCTTGTCAAATGGATTCTATCTCTAGATAAGCGAGGCGCAAGTCCCCGGCCGCTTGAAGTCAGAACAATGGCTAATCTAATTCTCTCTAAATGAGGCTATTCACACTCCGAAGAAGTAGGCAATAATTGGGCTTACAACTTTGTTAAACGCCATGATTCCCTACGTACCCGTTTTGCTAGACGATACAACTATCAACGAGCTAAAATGGAGGATCCTGATATCATGAAAGACTGGTTCAATCGGGTCAATGAAGTTATTCAAGAGTACGGGATCTCATTAGATGATATATACAACTTCGATGAAACAGGATTTGCTATGGGAGTGATCTCTATATCTAAAGTAGTTACTGATTCCCAGAAAAGTGGCCGGCTGTCTCTTATACAACCAGGAAATCGGGAATGGGTCACTTTAATTGAGTGTATTCGATCTAACGGAGTGGTTCTACCTCCGACCTTGATCTTTAAAGGCAAAATACATTTGAAGGTATGGTACGAAGATCAATCTATTCCCTCTACCTGGAGAATTGAAGTCAGTGATAACAGTTGGACCACTGATATAATTAGACTTCGATGGCTTCAAAAATACTTTATTCCATTGGTTAGAGGCAAATCAGTTGGTAAATACAGTCTCCTAGTCCTTGATGGCCACGGAAGTCATTTAACACCTGAATTCGACCAATCCTGTACTGAAAATGATATTATACCTATCTGTTTACCTCCTCATTCGTCCCACCTGCTTCAGCCTCTTGATGTTGGTTGTTTTAGCGTGCTTAAACGCACGTACAGAGACATGATTCGAAAGCAGATGTAATACGGCTGTAATTATATCGACAAGCTTGACTTCTTAGAGACTTATCCTAAAGCTCATTAATACGCTTTAACAAAGTCAAATATCATCAGTGGTTTTAGAGCAACAGGTCTAGTTTTTTTAGATTCTGATCGAGTGCTTTCTCAACTACATATTCGCTTGAAAACACCACCTAGTCCGGACAGTCAGTCAAGTGGCTCAGTGCTTCAAACACCACATAATATAAAGCATCTTTTAAAGCATCAAAATACTGTGGAACGCCTACTTCAGAAACGTCAAGCAAGTCCAACTTCACCAACATACTCTATACTACGTCAGCTTCTCAAAGGATGCGAGCTAGCAATAACAAGCTCAATCATACTGGCCAAGGAGAATGAGGAATTACGTGCTAGCTATGAAAAGCAGCTACAAAAGAGGAAGCGCTCGAGGAAGCAGATGGTCTATACAGAAGGAACTACTGTTGCAGAGGCCCAGAATGCAATACAATAAGAAGAAGAGATGTAAAATAATAAAGATATTGAGGTTGAGCCTCAATTTCTATCTACGGAGACCCCCTCGCGCGCGCCTCCACGCTGCAGTAATTGCTTCAATATTGGCCACCGACGTACGCAGTGTTCTAAACCACCTAGTAATTAGTTAGATAGCTTTTTTATAGGCGTTTGTGTTGATTTAAAGGCTTCATTTTGATGATATCGGGCAATTGTAGCAGGAGGGTGGCCCGCTCGATTGTGTGGCCCGCCCGATCGGTGATTACGTTAGTTAACTCCGTAGCATTAGTCAGCACGTGCACATTGTTCGTGAAAGACACAGACGCAGTTTATAGGGATTAAAGAGAAACAAAGAACAAGCAATCTGCTATTTTGACGTAGTTGGGGTTTGAGATATTCTTGATACTTGATTTATCACTCGCTCGGCGCAGCACGACCCTTTTCACGCAATCCGGCTGGGAATTTACGACACCCGCCGAGAGATTACTCCGGAGAACCAAATCTCTCCACCCACTCGTCCGTCTGTCTGTTTCCCGTCGCCAGTATGGAGCTTTCCCGCATTATCCTCGCCATCGCCGTCTACCTTGGTAAGCCATACAGACAGTCTCCCGTCTGCCTGCTTACTGACCCCGTACAGTCCTCCGCTTCATCCGTACTCGCTTCTTCGGTAACAACACCGGATCCACCATGTCTCACGGAAAGGTTATTGAGGTTGATAAGTGAGTCTTCCTAGCTCTGCTCCGTAAACTGTAAACTGAGAACTGACCGGTCTAGCCCTGTTATCTTCAAGGCGCTTACCTCCAACGGTCCCGTGGTCGTCGACTTCTTCGCAACCTGGTGCGGTCCGTGCAAGGCCGTCGCGCCAGTGGTCGGCAAGCTCAGCGAAACCTACACCAATGTGCGCTTCATTCAGGTCGACGTTGATAAGGTCCGTTCGGTGGCGCAGGAACTGGAGGTGCGCGCTATGCCCACCTTCGTCCTGTACAAGGATGGCCAGCTGCAGGAGAAGCGCGTTGTGGGTGGAAACATGAAGGAGCTGGAGGCAGCCATCAAGGAAATTACTGCATAAGAGGGTAATAATAAAGGAAGATAGCCGAGCCCGCAGAAATGGAAAGAGAAGTAAATAACAAGCCCAAGTCCATGTGATGATGGTGGACTCGATGATGTATCCTTGTCTGTTCAGCACTAGCATGGTCACTATAGCGGGAGGACAGCTGCGGACTATCTAGCCGTACGCAAAGCCTCCAATCATCCCATATTTGCATCTATCATTTGTCTCTTTGTTATTGAGGCTACTAGGGGCCGGAGCCACCGGCTGGTAGCTGAAATGAAGGCGGAATTTCTTCGACGTGAGATTGATGCGGGACGTGAAGCGGGATATGCCTGCGGGGCACGACACTGTTCCGTCGGCGGGACGACAGTTTTGAGAGGCTACGGAGGGCTACGAGAGGCTACGAGGGACGACATGCAGCGGTATTGAATGCAGGAGGAACACATGTAGTACTCAGATTATTTAACTATAGCGGTGGGATTGACGGCCAAGGCAGCCACGCGACGCTGCTATGTGAATGGTTAATGATCTAGGCACCGCAACGGAGTAAGGAACAAAACAGACAAGCAATCAGGTGCGACCCTGTATCTAAATGTCTATTGTTCAGTGTTGTATATCTAGCTGCGGCGATAACTTCTTCATGTGTTTACGGCGATTGAAATTTAGGTGGGTTTGACGTCGTTTATGGTCATATTGTTGCTTCAGCCGGTGAAGCGTCTGCATAGCTAAACATCTTACATAGCGAGTTCCACCGGGTATAGGAATAAGAAACGAATTAAATTGTAAAAGTCTTTGCCCGCGGGTATCATCGGCACTCGAATCAATCAAGCCAGAAACCAAGAAAATCCTCGAACTGAACGTAATCAGTCAATCCACTCCTGCTCCGAATCAATCAGTCGTTCCCCAATTCGCCAAGAAAAGAAAGAATCGCAATGAGACTCCAATTGCAAATGAACAAAGACCAGACCATCAATAACCCACTGATGGGGTTAAATGAACCGGCCCGTCAAAATCATGAGACGTCGCCAACAATCATGCCCAGTTTCCCAATAACGATACTGAACGGGCAAAAGTAAAAATCACGACCCTCGCTGTCACAACAGAAAACTCAGCTCGTCTTCGCTATCATCGTCCGAGCACGGAATTATCCGCTCGACTGGGGGAGGTCGCGTACGAGTGGAGCGTCGAGGACCCTGCATCTCCGATGGACTGGAAATCAGTGTTGGGGTTGGTGGCTGTTGTTCTTGTTGTTGCCGTGCCATACTGGGAGTCCGGATCAGCGGCTTCACCGAGACGGGCTGGTTGATGATAACCACCTCAATCAGGGGAGTCACTTTGATAGGGTCCGCCCGGGAGTTGCTGGGCGTGATTGGGCCCGATTGTAGTCTCGTCTTCTTTAAGGCGCTGTTCTTGGCCTGGGGTAGATCGCGAAGGGCCGCCCGCGCCCGGGTGGCTATCGGTGCAGAATTGGGTTCGAGGGAACCAGCCGCAGCCATCCTCCTCGAACTTGACCGAAGTCTCTTGGGTGACGGTGGCTTCCAATCATTTGTCCCACGTTCGCGTTTCCAGCTCATCGATGGCGCAGATGATGTCACGCTGGATGCAGCCTCCTCCGAAGGTTCAGGGCTGGGCGACCTGCTACTGATCGAACAGGCTATCGCCGATGGTCGCCGCTCAGCTCTCGCAGCCGCAGGGCTCGAAGCGCCGTCATTACGGGGAGCCACGGGTTTGGCGACCGGCGTGCTGGCTACCCATTCCCCAATGCTTTCTTCCCATCGATACAGGCGGATCACATCGGTTTGTGGCACACGCGCCAATGCGGCAGAGTGATGAACATTTCTATCTTGCTGGGATGAAGCGGCTTGTTCTTGGATTTCGAGAGCCCACGCGTGGTCATCCACATCCAATGTAACCTCCGCCAACGCCATTGCTGTTTCCGCAGCCACCTTGGCGAGGAGCAGAGAAATGCCCTTCATCGTCGTCACCTGCGCAAGCCGCCATACGATCGCTCGAATTTTCCGAGGTGTCCTCGCAAGATCATCTTCGCGCTCATGGCCGCAGCATCGAAAGACTTGTTGGACAAAATCCGCTAGCTGCTTGATTGCATTCTCTTGATGTACCAACGATAGACAAAGCGATTCTAAGTTTTTTGGCGAACTGGCGTCGGACTGGCCAATGACCTCGGGCATGCAATTTTCACTGCACTGCAGCGTCCACTCACCCAACAAGACGTATCCCCGACGCAGGGAGTGGAAGCTTGGACCCTCCATCTCACGCCGCGATAGTACCAATCCGATCGCCCGTTGCACCCCGAAAGACAGTGCCTCAACAATATGCCTGACCTTCCTGCCTGTCATCATGTCATTGGCGCCAGAGGTTTGCGTCCGTGCCATATACATGCCACAGAGTGCGGTAATCAGACTCGCTGAAAGATTGCTGAGCGCATCCTGGATGGGAACAGGGCATGGAGCTTGGTCTTTAGGCACGCTTGTAGGCTTCGTTACCGACGCACGGGTGTCCTTTAGACGTACAGACCGAGGTACCTTTCTCCCCTTGCTCCGAGCTACCAGCGAATCCGTGGCGGGGTAGATACCAGCAGATGAGAGGATGATAGCCTCGATAGTCCGGGTCGCAGCAGCTGAATCTTCGTCGCCAATTGACAGTGACCGGATAGCCCCGTCCACGCACTTTTTCCATCTTGTGGTGACCATCCACTCTGGCGGAAAAGCCCCACGAGACAGGAGCTTTGTCATCTCATCAAAAATAAAAGATCTCCTTTCAGGGGCCTTGGAATAGTAATTGCGCAGTATGTAGATAGGATTATCGCAGTGGCCCGCAGGTTTTGAAGGGTCAAAAGCTGTAGGGTAGTCGTGTGTCTTGACGGTCGTAAGATATCGTGATATAAGTATTTCGAAAGCATCCAACTCCCTGTGCTCAAGACATTGCTCTAGCAAGCGACAGGCAGCCAATTTGGGTACCCATTCTCTCTGCATCATCTCCGAAATCAGGTGGATGCCTTGCGCACGCACAGCTTCACGAAGCGGCTGCCATCCACCGCCACCAGGAGCATATTGAGCTTCAAGTTCGGTAAAGTATGCGTCACACATATCAACATCCTCATCCGGCTCCGCCTCATCCTGCAGGCGCTGCTCCTCAGCAATGAACTCCGGAAGCCGTCGCGCAGTCATAGACAGCAACGATCGGGCACCGCGACCCTCCCGTTCGTGTTTGTGTATCGCCGGAGCAGGCCTAGTATTCTCCAAAAACTTAATAAGCATGCGATCCAAAAAGCGCGCAATATCCACCAAGCCCGGATCCCCCGATAGATCCAAAACCTCTTTCCATGAGCCCTGGTATGCTGGAAAACTGGGATTATTCGTCCGCGACTGCCTGCGCCGCTCGCTGGCCCCGACAGCACTCACTGGTGGTATGGGATTCCGAAAAAGCCGTTTGCGAATAGATAATGTCGCTTCCGCCGGTCCTGGCGCAGTTCCTGTGATCAACGGGGTCGCGATTTCGATAGCGCCAGGCAGCGTCCTCTGCACTTCCGGGCTCTTAATCAAGAGTCGACTGCGTCTCCGGGCGCCATTTCTCTGACCGCGATTCGAGTAATTATGCCTCGGCCGGCGATTTCCCCGGTTCCCTGGAATCCATGCTGGATCGTCGGGTTCCTCGTCTGAAAGATTGCAGCCTGGTTCTGGACCGGGTTTCTTGTTGTTTGGTTGGAGTCGCAAACGGTCGGAATCGTGGTGTTCGGGTTTGGCTTTCGATTTTGTGTCTGCTATGCTGTTGCGAATCTCATAGTGTTTCTGGAGTCGGTGGTGGATGGATGTCAACGGGCGCAACATGCGGTTCGCCCATTTCGCGGTCGGTCGGATATCCTCCATGTTGCGCCAATTGCGTCGCGGGTTAGCGCTGGTACTCGCAGGAAGCTCCACGCCCGTAATGAGGTGTAATCCAAAAGAGGCGCATCAGAACTGGGCTTGTCGTGGTTGTTGATGTCCCATAAATAGTGATCTATGTCATCGGATGTCGCGAGCGAAACACGGCGAGGTAACCAAAACTACTAGCTGACAGAGTGCGTGGAGGCACCTAGATACATCCGGAATCCGATATAACTCTGTAAAATACAGATATACAGCTAATCACCACCCCACGGATCCAGAATTCGGTTGCAAAATCTGAACTGAAGTAAGTGTGAGTTCGAGATGTTGGGAACTGAAGTCACCCAAAGAGAGTTGCGCAGACACGCGATTCTGCCGCCTGGACGGAGTATGGCCCAATGACATAGGACGGCTAGGGTGACCGCCTACCCACTGGAACTCGGCACAGTCCAGGAATGAAACAAACAAACAAACAAACATGCTACGTACAAAGTACTTACTATCTACCTGTAAGAGTAGGGCTTCACCTACGGGGCATACTTATCGCGGATCCAAATCAAGTAACCAACTGCGGCATGTCAAGTGAAACTACGGAGTAGCTTTGGATCATTCACTCCCTTTCACCCCATGCATTCCCCCGTTTCGTGTCTTTCCCTAGCCCCGTCGATCCTTATCCTGTTTGCTTCTTTAACCCCAATCTCCCCACCATGCTTCTCCGCACTCTTCATTCCCCCTCACTCTGAGTGTCGATACCAATTTAACCATGCTACTTCCTCGTCTCTGGCTGGCGTGCCTCACGCTGCTCGTGGCTGGGGCCGCTGCCGTCAAGGTCAAGATGAGAACGGGCGGAAACGCACGACGCTGATGACCCAGCGCATCCTGAACTTCCGCGAGTATCTGGTGGCCAACGGGGTTCAAGCGCAAGCGTTGGTTCCTAAGTACTGTGTGCAGAGTCCGCATACCTGCGACTTGTATCTAAACCAGAGTGCGATTCAGTAATCAGGCTGGGGACAACAGCTGGCAGCGTAGCATTTAACGTGACATACGGGATCGATGTGTAGGTGACCTGAATTGCTTGCGATAATGTCTAGTACTGATGCTATTTGTTTGACATCTACGTTCATTATCCCAATAGAACCTGAAATGTACGAATATTACAATGTTGCGTGAGTTCAGCCTCAGGCTCTCAAATTGGTCCAATTGGTCCAGCAAACTGAGCAGATATGTCACTTGTTCACATGTACTCACTCAAGCAGGAACTTAGCAGATTGCATGATACGGGAAATCTTTGCAATTTAATGAAAGATGAAGGCAAAAGTCATAGTAGAATAGGAACGAAATGGCCATGAGTAGGGGACTCAGACGGATCTAAGCCAATTTTTGGGAGGACTACATTATCATCTACTGAACAGTAACACTTGGCGAGAGGCTTTTCTGTTCGGTTACTGTAACGATCATTTACTTCTGCTTGTTCTTTACGTCCCTCTCCACGTCTAAGCCCACAATATATAGTGGCTTTGATATGCAAAACTGGTACTGTAAAAGGAGTAGTCCCTGCCTTCAAGTTCCAAGAAACTTGACTTTCTTATCCACAGTAGTCACCCTCTGAAAAAACATTGTATTCCTCAGAACTTCCGAAGGGCACCCTGATGAAGGGGGTGGTCACATGACCCAAGGTCACCTCATCGTCTCCCTGGCTCCGCAATTCTTTCCTCTGACATGAGGTTCGAGCCAACCAATCGCCTCCATAGCTGATAGTAACAAACGGCGTGTATGACAGTGTAACGGGCAGCGAAGGTGGGAAGATAGTTCAATACCGCTTCCTGAATTTATGCGGGAACCGGTGGACCCCCTAGAGTGATCGACATCGGAATAACACCCGTCTGCAACCATATTCTAACGACAGGAGAACCTAATTTCAACCTCAGGGCTAGTTTACCATCTTGTCGATGAGACAAATCTTATTTTGACGACCTAACATCTTCGAGGACAGCGGAACAATCGCATCTACTCGCAATCAGTCCAATGGCGCAGTCCGTTGACTTGACTCACGCGACACCCAACCACATCCCGTCAATTGCCAGACCTTTGGCACCTTACATCAAAAGCCGCCAAGGTGCCCTACTGATCCGGCAAGCCTTGACCATTTACCTTCGTTCGCATATCGAGTTCGCAGAAAACAATACCGAACACCCAGGATGCCACAGCCAATCCCATCTGTCGTTATCAGTGCCTCACGAAGCGGTGGTCGATGTCAAGCGGATTCCATCGGAGTTGACGGGGTTGCGAAAACAGTACCTGGAAGCGCTCAAATTGAACGTGGCTGCGAGGAGGGAATACCAGTCAGTTGTGGAGAAGGCGACTTCTGTGAACCAAGAAAGGGGCATGACACGGGCGGAAAAGTTACCCGTGGATTCGTCTTCGGAGTTACAGGAATACCTGCGGCTTCTCCGTGACCGTCGTCGGCATGCAAAGCTCCAGGTTTTTGAACACTACATTCAAGAGCTCAAACAACGTGATACGCCAAAACCAGCAGATCTAGAGGATAGTGGAACTCATTATCAGCAGCTCGTGCCACCACCAGAATTCGAAGTTATCCAACATGGCGCTACAACAGGGCTTACCGTCGAAGAGCTTATGCATAACCTGGAAAAAGCCGTCATCCGCGCTAAGGCTCAGCTGGAGAGAGAGAAAGGGTTATTAGAAGAACTTCAGGCGCAACAGATGCCCGTTGGGGCCCAAGATATCCCACGCGCAGTAAAGGGAATGGCGTTACAGCGAACTCGAAATGAGCTGGTGCGTTGGGTGGAGGAGAAACTGGTAAGTGCTGGGAACGATGAGAACCGTGTAGCCTCTCAGGACTTCCGTTCCGAGGACATGGATGAGTCTGTGCGTCTGCTCGGGGAGAAGAAAGCACAGATCGCACAACAATACACTACATATGCGGATGCTCGCAAGCGTCTGCTTGATGCCGCCTCCAGAGCTTGCCAACCAGTTACTCTCCCGGCCGGAAAGCCCCCATCACGGCCTACTAGCTTAGTGCAGGGAAAGAATGCATCTGAGGAAACACAAGCTCTGGATGCGTTGGGAGTCCTTACTTTTGCTAGCGATGTCCTCCAGCCGTTGGCCAGGAGCCAGCGGGCATTGGCACTGCAGAAATTCTACCTGTCGGGTATGCTTGCGAAAGAAAAAGACACAACCCTTCGCATCCTGAGCAGGCTGCGAGATGAAAGTCATCTTCTCCCAGAGTACCCAATTCTGGCACGCCAGCCGCGGTTTAAACATGCAACAGCAGCTTTGGCTTCGCACCAGGCCACGGGCACAGAATCTGCCAAGCCAGACCAACTTGTTGGTCTGGCCGAGGCATGGGCATCTGCTTCGGATGCAGCAGGGATGACTGAACAAGAATACGTAGGGTACCGACTGGAGGAAGGGATGGAGACAGCGCAGGATGCACAACAAGTGCTGGAAGATGTCTATAGTATACTTAACCAAAACCTGGAGGATACCTTGTGTGACAGGCAAGGCGGATCGGGCGAGGACAGTATCGGGGCGTCGGGGGCACGATTAACTCGGTCACGGGCCAAAATGCAGCAGAGCCAACAGTCAGCAAAAGGTCCATGGAGTGGGCTACATGGTCAAGTGGCCGTTGGCAGATGATCTGTGATGACGAGCAGCCACTGATATTACGTGATGTTGTTTCTTGGTCTTGTCTCGTACGCGTAGATTGCTTGTCTTGTGTTATCGCGCCCCGTTCCCCCACGTTCTTCACTTGCCTGTTAGAAATTTTCGAACATAGCGCCAATAGTACTTGTTTCTTCAACGGCTGTTTCAGTCGTGATGGAGTGATGATCGTTTGAATAAAGAAGGGTCTCACCAAGAAGAGCTGGCCCATCCCAGGATTTAAAAACTCTTCCAGGCAAAAGCGGTGTTACCAGAGAGGGGAGATGGCAGTTCAAGTCAGTATGACCTGATACGCAGATTGGGGTACTCGTTCAATCCATTGCACAGATCATATGGAGCCTTTCCAATAATTTGGGAAGTTCAGTATAGTAACCAATACTATCATTGCAGCATCACACCACTTGTATTCTGTATTATCTATACAATCAGATCAAAATCTAATCAATCGTCCCGCAAAAGAGAAACTGTACAAACGAAACTGGGTATATGAGATGAAAATTTCACAAATCCACACACACCATCCTATGTCCCACACTGTTGTTGAATACGACCATCGTAACCGGGTTAGACCAAATACAAGTGATAGAATAATCCCACTCCTTGAGTTGAAATGAGAAGGATAATAGCAAACAGCCACACAATTATTATATCCTCTTTTGAGCAGCACCGTTATGTCAGATTGACATCCTGGAATACAGAAACATCCCATATCCCTGTCATGTCGAATGGAAAGCCGTCCATCGTGCCGAAGGTCCCGGAGATGCTCATCATATCGTCGACAATATCATTATTTGTTTGTGTCTCCGGAAGGGCGATGGCGGCGGGATTTACTAGTCGATGAGGGTGGGTACTATCTGGAGGCTGGCCGAGGTCTGTGAAGGTGGGCGGATGTTCGGCGCTGGGGTTGGCGCCGGTGCTGTTGTTCAGGCGGTTGAGGAGACGCTCGCAGTGGTCGAGACACATGTCGGCGACATCCCAGTCTTCTTCTTCGCGGACACGGCGAAGGATAGATCGGAAGGTTTCGACGTTGGCTAGGCAGGAGCGGGCCACTTCGGGGTCCGTGGTTTCGAGAGCGCAGCGGACGAGGAGGGTGGCGGTTGTGGTGAGGTGGAAGGCGCTGTCTGTGAGGTTGTTAGAGTCCTATCTTTCTCTTCTGTGGATCATGGGAGACATCTTGGGGGTGCGGCATACATGGAAGCCAGAATTCTTGGAAGTTCTGTTTCCGGAGGGATGAGATGAATTGCACGATTTCTTCGGCGGATCGGCGACACTCTGTTTGGAAGTAGCGGCGCGCCTCCGGGTTGTCTGCTTCGGCGTTGTTGACCTCCTAGGCAAAGTTAGTATTGCCCCGAGTCTAATAGATAAGGCTCAATGGTTCTCACGTTGAGTTCGACACGGCTAACGAGCATCTTCACTGCAAGGAAGCCGAGCTGCAGACTGCTTGTACCAGAGATACGCTCCTCTGTGGTATTCGTGCTGATGGGGTTGCGGAGCCAATCGGGGAGAGAGTCCTCCCACGCGTCGAGATCTGTGCGAATTTGCCGCACCTTCTTCGTCGTTTCGCGGTGGGCTCGAGACTGCAAGCCGTAGACGAGCGGTAATAGCTCGCCTAAGATCTCAGTGAGCCGGCACAGAGCAATGTGGCAGTGGGCAGCTCGCACGCGCTCGGGTGTCCGAGAAGCCTGGGGGATCAGAACGTCAATCGTGGGAAGAGGAACATCGTATTGATTTTTGGCAATCTGCGGAGGCACGCCGTGACCAAAACTCCCCCTGCATTTACGTTAGTGAGACGCCAGATCCATATATGGGCGTAGGTCGGATAGGCTTACCAGCGATCATGGATCACGACGCCCCACCAAAGCCGCATACGGTGGTTCTTCTCGGGGCGGGATAGCTTCCAGTGACTTGGATCGCGGTTGAGTCCGAGACAATGTGCGAGGGAAATCATGCGCCCACAGCTGATGGCATTTCCCGTCATTGAAAAGATGGGCCGACCTGTAAGATCGATGAGGGCTGCACTGACTGTTGAAAGCCCAGGCGCCGAAAATTCCTCGTGGAGCGCAGCGACAGTCATATTGACTGCGTACCGGGCATCTGGCTTCGGGTGACAGGCCAGCTTGGGGGTGTGTTTCCAATAAACTAGCGACATCGAATAGACCTGGCATAAGAGCGACGCTGGCGGGTCTCCCGGGGACTCCGACAAGAACGCCTCCCAGAAAGTTTCCCCGTCAAAGATCGGAAATGCTGCATTGAACCGGTCGATGAACCTGAGAAGGAGAATTAGCATGGCGCCTCACACTACCTTCGGGGTCCATTCTATGAGAAAGCGTACAGTCTGACGAGGTCGCGCTTGAATGGGCCGAGGATCTGCTCGAGGATCTCCTTCTGATTCTCCCCGGGAGGAACTCCGACCCGCATACCCTGCCTCCGCCGAGACACTGTAGTGTAAAGAATGGGCTTTCGAGGGTCGCTGGAGTAGACGTTGTATGGCTGACTTTTTGGTTCGACCGATTTGCTAGTCCGTTCGGGAGGCATGTATCTCTCGATAACCTGGGCATCATCGGCCACGACAGGACCAACAATTAGGACCGACTCATTGTGGGGGTCATCGACTCCTTGGCTCCTGGATTCACTCCTCCGACGGTCTAAGGCCGAGTCCGAATGTGCGACGCTGGAAGCGCGGCGGCGGCTGGGGTGCGCCGAAGAATCAATTGCGTCCGGGGTATGCTTGCGTTTCTGACCTAGCGACGAGACCCGAGTGTGATCGGGGACCCAAGGTTTCGATTCATGGCCATTGGTGAGTGGAGGATCATTATTGGCCTCTTCTTGGTAGTGACAATCCGCTCCTTGAACGCGGCACAACAGGCATGATTGACCCGGGATGTCAACGGTGCATCGCGATTTGCGCTTCCTGCACAAGTCGCAGGCCCTAACCTTGTGTGACCGGTATGGTCTGGCGCCAGCATTAAAACCCGGAGAAGCCAGCTTCGGCGTGGCAGTGGTGGAAGCAGTGGCCGGCGGCATGATGCGCCCCAATTATTATTTTCTTTTTCTATGGTTGGCGCAAACCGGAGATCATAAGCGGTAGCGATGGTAATTTAAATCTCTTTTTTATCGGGCAAGTGTGACAGGTCAGAAGCCCGGACTAACACCGAGAGGTGGGTAAGTAGTAGGATTTACGATCGGGAGGAGCTGCAAGATGATCGGTGAGTTGCAAGAGTGATTGTGCCTAGTCAAGTCATTCATTCGTCGGACCCGGCTAGATCGCAAGGCCGAGGGACAGCATTGAGATTCTTGGGGCTGGGAGGGGGAGACGGGGGAAAAGAGAGGGGAGGAGGGGGGAGGAGGATGGATGCTAATCGCGAGAAGGCGCTGATAAGTGCATAGTCATTGAAGAAACCACCCCACACGGTTGATTGAAGGATGAAAGAAGCAAGCAGCTCGGTCTGGCTGGTGGCCGAAGATCTCCTTGCGTTTCTGGAAGCGCGCGCGATCGAAAAGGGCCAGGAGAGATTGCCGAAATTCTTGCTTGTCTTATCGGAATCTGCTAAAAATCCCTGTGGGGGGAAGGAACGTCTCAGTCACGGCTGAGTCAGCCAGGGTGACCAACCACGTGCTGCCGATTGATGTACTGGCGTTCCATGCAGGCACTAGTCCGCTTTGGGAGGAGATCCTCGGCTGGATCCTCATCTTTCCTCCACCATCAGACAGATAGCCTCCATAGCTGGTAGACCTTGCTTAGCGAGCTCCATCAGCCCAGTGAATTGATTTATTACTATTGCCTTTACTTTATTTTATTGTCGGCTCTTTGTGGCCCTTCAACTGAATACTTCAACGGCCACAGGGCCCAACACTACGGAGGAATGGAGTAGTAGGTCCTTGATAACTTAGTAATGGACATCAGGAAAATGGGTATATACATATGTCAAGATTATGTTCAAGCAATCGAATTGATCAATCCACAACACCGGTGTCATCAGCCCAGCTCGGCTGGATACTGCGGCACACGGCCTCGTAATCCCGAAACTTTTGAGAGTCCTCCGTCAGTCCTGGCGTGGTCCAGAACATGGTCCAGTTCATATCGGATAGTTTCCATGTCCCCTGCGAGCGCTCAAAGTACCACTTGTTCACGGGATTATCCTTGCGGCTGCGCCAGCACACGCCGTTCGGGAAACAAGAGCGGACCATTGCATTGAAGACGATGTCCGCCACACCACCAGCACCTTGACTACGTTTCAAAACGGCAAACTTGTCCAGATAGGGAACCATGCGAGCTTGGCTCGCCTCACTCCCATCATCTTCCACGCCGGGAGGGAGCTCCCAGGTCAAGATGGCGCCTCCTTCATACTCCCCTGCAATGATGAGTCCGGCCAGGCGACCGTTGACTCGATTGAGGTAGTCTTGTATGTCGAGTTTGCGATTGAAGGAATCCTCGATCAGATGCACCAGTCGCGGCAGGTCGATCGAGGGATCATCGAGTCCCAGACGCGGCCGATCTTTGGCCGTCCAAGGTGAAAGCCAAGGATTGGGGATGATGGTCAGCGGCATGCCTCGCTTGACAAACGTGGTATGCGAGGGCTGTGTAGCGATCGAGTCCCGTCTGCCATTTAGGGCTGCGCGTCGGCTGAGGGGCAAAGAAGACGAGAGCAGAGGCTTGTCGGTCAGAAGGTTATGGATAAGCGGGTTTCTCTGTCTTCGGGTTCCAACAGCTGATACATCTGGACTAGCGCCTCCAGGGCTCTGTGCTGAATTTGCAACTTCGAGTGGGGAAGTAATGATACTAGACGACGCCGAGGGTAGCATCGCCAGTGCGGCTTGGCTTAGTCGCAGGTTGTTTATATGACCCTCCACCATGCTTGTATCCAAGGTTAAGTCCGATGAGTAAGCTTTCTGACTAGGAGGTACTGGGACGACTTCCGTATCGGCGAATTTGGACAGAGGGTTGCTATCAGCGATAGACGGTAAACCTTCTTCCGGAAGATTATTCTTTGCAGATGCTGCTGACTGCCACACCCGCAGCAACTCGTTCTCAATGTCATCAAATTCTTGTTCCATATTGATGAAAACATGGGACGTCTGAGGTCCACTGAAAGCAGGAATCCCGCCCAAGGGGTCCAGGAGGATGACTCGATCCAGAGAAACTTCCTCCTGCAGGCCCGCGATCCGTTGGGCCGTCCGTATGGGATCTTCATCAGGGTCGGGATTTGTTGCCAGGCCGGCCAGCTCTTTGGTGAGGGCCAAGATGGCATCGCTGGCCGAGACAGTCACTGCTCGAGGAACGTCTTCAGTATAAGCAATGGGGGCCAAGACCACGATTTGACCATCGCGCAACGGCCCTAGCAGTAACTTTCGAGATAGGACTTTAGGCGCCTCAGGGTTCAGCGCAGAAACGGACAGGACAGAGTCGATATGGGCGGATTTCGAGTCCGGCTGGGCATCCACAGCCGTTGAGATGCGATCTGCCTGCTCGGCCGCGATCCTCCGCAGTTGATTAGGATCGCCTGCTGTACCTGGGTCGACTACCACACAACAAGCCATTCCCAGACGATTCAGCTGCGATAGGGTTTTGGCCACGCCGTTGACCGTCGAGTCATCGAGAAGCTGCGGAGTGGTTATTTTGACCAGGGCCAAGTGCAGGCGCTCAGACACATCTTGAAGGGGAGGTGTTGGGGTTGAGTCATGTCTGAAGACGGGGCTGTCATAGACCGATCGGGAGGCGCCATAGAACGAGGTTGAGCTGGCACCCGACGACACTGGTGCTGCTGCTTCCGCTACTCCGGGTTGCTTGGCGGCCGGCTTCAGGGGAGGAGTTCCTTGGTGTTGAGCTTTGAGACGGGCCAAAAAAGACTTGGCCTCACGCTTGGTCGAGGCGGAATTCAACAGGCTGAGGAAGAATTCCCGGTCCAGGAGCTTCTCCTTGGCGCGGCGACCTAAGCGATCCCAACTCTTGCTGCTGGAGGAGAACTCGGCACTCTGCTGCACTTGCCGACCGGAAGCCGAGGAAAGACATCGACGCGGGGCACTGCCACTACTACTAGTACTACTGCTGCTGACGGCGGCAGCGGCAGCAACACCGCTGCGTTGCAAGTGTGTTGATGTGGTCGATCGCAGCCCGACCAAGGTCCTGGAGCTCATAGTTTCGGACCTGGAGGTGACTCTTGAGGATGCGTCGGTCTGTAGATGGAGAGGTGGCCATCGATCGACTGGGCTGAAAAGTCGCTAGGCAGCCACGTGACTGACACTAGGACCTCCGATGGAGCCCGACATGTCATGGACATCAGTCACGTGAAAGGGGGGGGGGGGGGGGTGTGTCTAATACTCTAGAGTAAGGATTCATGATCTATTCTTGTTGGACTTTGGCAGTGATGGATTATCTATTTGATGTCTATCAGCGCGGCTTGCTAGTAGTAAGATCATTATGCGCTCTTCATGATTCATAGAAGTCGTGTCACCGGCCTATGGAGTGGCCATCCCCAAAGAAAACATAACACACGAAAGTAGTTGACAGATCCATGCTTACCCACCAATAAGTATCATCGGCCTGTTTTTCATATCTTTCAGCTCCCCCATGCCAGCATGCTTTGCCTTCTTCCTTTTAACCGCTACTCCAATGATATCCAACAACTCCTCCTCTCTCCGGACAAGAGCATCAGATTCCAGCTCCTTCATCCTTGTTTCACTAATTGGTTCCCCGTTGTTTTCCTTCCGGAGGATATCTCGCAAGGATACTTCGGCGTTGCCAAACAAGCATACCTTCAGATTTCCATCACATGTAATGCGTAACCGGTTGCAGGTGCCACAGAAGTTATGGGTCATGCTGGTGATAAACCCGATCTGGCCTTTAAAGCCAGGAACCTGATAAGTTTTGCTCGTGTTATTTTTGTGATCCGGCACCTTCTGGAGATCTGGGTACTTCTCCTGGATGGTTGCCAGCATTTCTTGGTAAGAGACCATCTTGCCCTGGCTCCATTTATTGCCATCAAAGGGCATGTACTCAATGAAGCGTATTTCAATAGGGTTGTTTCGCCCTAATTCGATAAAAGGGATGATTTCCCGCTCATTGATTCCCCGCATTACCACGCAGTTGATCTTTAACTTGATCCCAGCCCCGGCATGGTTTAATTCCACCACCCGGTCTATACTCTTCATCACCGCATCGAAGCCCTTCCTCCGTGTCATAATCTGGAACTGAAAGGGATCCAATGTATCAAGGCTAAGGTTGATCCCAGTCAAGCCGGCATCAACCATGGCGTCGAGCTTGCGGTGTAGCGAGATGCCATTCGTCGTCAGACAAAGCTCACGAAGGCCATTGCGTCGCAGTTCCCCGATCGACTGCATCAGGGGAATGATATCCTTCCGAACAGTAGGCTCACCGCCTGTCAAACGGATCTTGGTCACACCCTGCGAGACGAACAGCGACGAGAGGTATATAATTTCGGGAGAGGTAAGGAGACGAGCCGGTGGAGATAATGGGACACCTTCCTCGGGCATGCAGTAGAGACAGCGAAGATTGCATCGCTCGGTCACACTGATGCGGAGGTAGTCGTGCTGGCGGTTGAAGGTATCTGTAAGAAATTCCGAGAAAGGCTTCGCGGATTTCAGGGCAGCCCATCGTGGCGGCACGGATTTGGTAGAGGGGGCTGGTGAGGATAGCCTATCTTCGGATCGGGTGGCTGTCGCTATTGCGTTGGTACTGTGATTCCGAGGGTTCCAGACGGCGAATCGGGCGACGTGAGAAGAGGGCATAAGTCGGCTTGAAGTAATCATCTTTGCCGAGCTGGCACAAGACAATAGCTTTGGCATCGTGGAAGTGGTCAGGGTAGATTACCCGGTCTGAACTAAGTATTAGATCGCTGGGTTTGGAGGAGAGTAATAACGTCCTCCGCTTCTTGAAGAAGCTGGTTCAAGATGCCGTGTAGTACGGCGGGCATTAGCGGCCATGGAGTAAAGGCTTTCAAAGTCCCTTACCTGCCAGTATAATGGATCAAGACTTTCGTGAGGGGGCGGGTCACTCATCGGAATCACGTGGGGTTGCTTATCTGTCTGGTTTGCCTCCCGCGGGTCCCTTGTTTAGCTTATCTGCGGAGTAGTATTATTAATTCCTTAATTAATGCCCGGAAGATGAAGACTTTGGGGTTCACCATCGCTGATCTTCCGTCCAGCCTTCCAAGGCCACAAACAACGGGAAGCATGAGGCATCAGAACTAAACTGCAATCTACGCGAATTCCTCATCATTCAGTGCCCAGCGAAGCTCACAGTAAGCACATGTATTTACAGAGTATGGCGGGGCTAAATTGAAAATCTCCCCCACCTCCTGCGAATACAAGAGATACAAGATAGCTTGTTCGGGGATCCAATTAAGATGTCCGCCCCTACTTAGGTACCTTTACTGTAGAACAAGCTGAAGAAAGGCAGATAGGGTTATAAAAAAGCAAGTGGAGAAACAACATGTTATCACGTGCATACTGCCGCTCACATGTTCGATACGCAGGGCGGTGAAAGCCAGAAAATCTCCCGTCATCTCCGCATTTCCCCAAATCCCTCCGATCACCTCAAATCAGCTGGTCTCTATATCAATCGGCCATCGCGTGTCGATTCCCATGCTGATTCTATGTCTATGATACTCGGGCGCGTCCCGCGCTCTCTGTCAGTACGGCTGGCTAAGGTCGGATATCGTCAACCCAGAGCAAAAGCGACATCTCTGATCCGACTGATCTCCCAAAACGCAGTCGCATCAGCTAGAAGCTCTGGGCTTAACGATCTTCCATTGGCATATACCTGGCTAACAAGAACGCCAGGTCAAATCGTGAGAACTGCTCTCCTTCTGATAACAGTTGCCTTGACTAAGTATTTCAAGAGACACCAGATGACGTTCTTTCGAACGTATCCCCTATCCCAGAGTCCCTCTCCTCGTTAGACTATGTACCCGTTCTCCTAATCACTTCTGCATTCGCCCACTGGATCGACGTATCGTCAAACCCGTTTCTTGAACAATTTATCAACTCTTTATACCCCTCTACACCCAGCCACGAATCTTTAAGACCTGTCCATGCCATTGTTGCCGTGGTCGATAAGTTACCCGACCTCCGCGTCAGGCTCGAAGAGATTGCCGACAGCAAAACCCCATCTGACTCTGATGGCGTGTCGTTGTTGCTGGTGAAGGCAGAAGACATACAGGGAATCATTGCTGTGCCTCGTCGTGTTCGGAGTATGGAAGCTGCAGAGTCCAGTCTGGTCTTCAAACTCCAAAATGACGCATTTCCCAAGGCTTCGCAGAGGTCGACCCATGAACTTGGACTACGTCTTGCCAATACAATATTCATTAACGGCAATGACACCACTCTTTTCGGCACGCGCTGGACCTATACGCCTTCCCAGCAATATACTTTGGAGCAATCCGTAAATTTCTCCAACTGTACGGTGACCTCGGCGGTCGCTTCCGTACAAAACTCATTTAAGCTCCCGTTGTACCCTGTTGGCCAACGAAGGAGAGTTATATCAAGCATGGGAAATATCCTTCGTCAATTGGCAAAGCATACGGATAGTCAATCAACGGAACCAATGCCAGCTTCATCTGAACTGGAAAAGGAACTACCCCGCTACATTGAGGAACACGGCATTGTTGACCGGAGGGTTTCTGTTTGGGCCCTGATTGAGAACTCCGAAAATGGCTTCCATTTGGAAAACAACGCTAATATACAGGAGAGCCTCGTCAAAGCAATCCGCGCAGGAGGCAAACTCCATCGGGTTATGAGTGGCGGCGGTGGATGGGGAAAGAAACAGGGTCTTCTATCTTTAGACCCTGAAACGACCTTTGTTGAAGCAGACAATGAACAGGGGCTCCTGGGTCTGGAAGATCTCTTCGCAGACCAGGAGAGACAACCTCTCTCAGATATATCACCTCCGCCGCCTGCGTTCTTTGAGATGCCACAACTTGATGAAAGTATGTCAAATCTTTCTCAAGCTGCAGGACCGGGTGACTATGTCCAGTTTTTTGTCTCCGTAGAATCAGACCATACTCCGGATTCTCTCAACGATGGAAGCATGCGGTTGACTTTTGGCATTGTTGCTGATTCCGAGGCCATTCCCAGCTCTTCCGATCGCATGGAGAAGGATCTGGGTGTCGTATCTCAGTTCTTTGGTGCGCTATCGGAGAAAGCAATTACTTATTCGCAACCTGTGATTGGTACAGGGGCCTCGGATTCCCTAAAATCAAGTGCTAAGTTTGATATTCCCGGATGCCGCGTGGCGTTAGTGGTGGAATGATCGACTCCTGTGTGCAATATCACATTTACAAGAGGCACAATGCCCAGTCTCTCTACCTCATGGCCTCTTTCATTTTTACAGTCTCATTTCCCTGACCTGACTGTGTCTACGGCGTTGTACTTCTACATCTCTTAATAAGATCGCGAACATGATCATCTCCGCCCATACATAAGATCTCAATACTGAACTATCATACAGTCATGTTCTTGCACCAAGGGGATTCAACAACACATGCGCCTAATAGACCAAGACGTACACCATTGTTCTACTAAGTTGCTTTCACAGCCCACCCAGTCAATGACCCCACCATCGCTGTACGCTGGGCCGCGGTACCCTATGCCAGCACTGTCTGGGAAAAATTGTTATTAAAGCCGCTGGCGGCATTGCAGTAGCTGGTTATGACTGATCTCTACCAGACTGCCTTGTAGACAGAGACTCATTTGGGTCCTATTGTATAAATATTGTAAAATGAAGATGGTACTGAGGGTCACTATGATCATCTGGTAATATGAATGTCACCATGGCATTGAAGAAGCTATGGGCATGTCAAGGGGCGTTGTTGTTCTCGTTGCTTGTATCGGCTTATGTGTAGGTCCAAACTCAGTATCTTTCCCTAGTTCTTGTCTTTCTTTTCGACCATCCATCTCATGAGATCAGCGTAGCTTCGCATGGATATAAGAGAGCCGGAGTCAGGAGACATGAACATGAGTTGAGATGAATCATCACAGTGAGTAGAGTTCTGAAAGCGCTATACCTACAGGATCTAGTGGCCCCCTGGGTCGATTATTATCGCTTTCGACATGCATTTCGAGGAATCGGTCAGCCCCTGAAGCCATTTGTGTCGGCTCCAGGTCATATACATCACGTGATTTGATCCAAGACAGTATCCCGCGTTCCGACGTGTCAGATGACCTCATCAGCGCCTCCCGACCACAGTTGATCCGCGTCGTCTATAGGGCGTGAGATTGCTCGTCTGAATCGTCTGAATGATCGCCTAATACGTTTCATCTCATATAACTGTCTATGACGTGTAAACAGCCGGCACTTGGGCACGGCTTTCAAAGCCCATAATTCTGGGACTGCTAGAGCAGCATGGGTGTCCATGGGCTCTGGACGGTCGTACATCCTTGTGCACGGCCCATCAAATTAGAAACTCTCAACAAGAAGCGCCTGGCTGTTGATGCATCGATATGGATATATCAATTCCTGAAGGCGGTTCGCGACAAAGAAGGCAATGCCCTCCGGAACTCTCATATCGTGGGCTTCTTTCGGCGCATATGCAAGCTCCTCTACTTTGGTATTCAGCCGGTCTTCGTGTTTGACGGTGGCGCTCCAGTACTCAAGCGCCAGACTATAGCAAACCGGAAGAAACGGCGTGAGGGTCGGCGAGAAGATGCCGTGCGGACCGCTGGAAAGCTGCTGGCTGTGCAGCTGCAAAGGTCTGCTGAGGAAGAGGCGGCTACCCGCCGGAGGGGGAGAACGGAAAATGAAGAGGAGGTGCCAGACAACCCAGTTTATGTTGGTGATGCTTTCATAACCGAACAGGAAAAGCAGCAGACGCGCTCGTTCAAGAAGAAGGACGCCTATCATCTGCCGGAGTTACAAACCAGTCTTGAAGAGATGGGGGCCCCCAATGACCCTCGTATCATGTCCCAGGACGAATTGGAGGAATATGCAAGGCAATTTCATCAAGGAGAAGATATCAATCTGTATGATTTCTCGAAAATTGACTTTGATAGCCCATTCTTCGTCAGTCTCCCGGCGACGGACCGGTACAACATTCTCAATGCGGCCAGGCTCCGAAGCCGTCTCCGGATGGGGTACTCAAAGGAGCAACTAGACAGCATGTTTCCTGATAGAATGGCATTCTCGAAGTTTCAAATCGAGCGTGTAAAGGAGCGCAATGACTTAACGCAGCGCCTGATGAATATTAACGGCATGAACGGTGAAGATGCTCTGTACAAATCAGGACAACGTATTGCCGGAGAACGCGGGAAGGAGTATGTCTTAGTGAAGGACGATACCATCGAAGGTGGCTGGGTTTTGGGTGTTGTGGGAAATAAGGAAGGTCAAGAAGATAAACCTATCGATGTTGACCAATATGGTCAGCAGATGATATTCCCGGATAAAGAGGATAATTCGGATGACGATGACGGAGGATTTGAAGATGTACCTATTGAAGGATTGAACCGACTACCTAAGCTGCCTTTTCTCCAGAAGGGGGGTTTCGATGAGCCAAACAGGAATCAGATGCGTGATAGCTTGAATACGAGAGGCCCCGAGCTGCAGGCAGCCAACGAAGACTCCCTATTCGTGGAAGGTGGTCAGGATGAATTCCTATCGAAGCGTAACCACCATACTGCAGATACTTTGTTCGATATTAGTGGAGATGATGATGACGAAACGCTTCAACGAGCGATCGCGATGTCTCTCGAACCTGGTGGGGATATCAATAATGATGATCTACCTGAAATTCAGCTTAACCAGAACCATATGTCTCTTCCAACTATCGATGAGGCCCCGGCAAACGTTACGGATCATAGCGATGACGAAGGAATGGACTTTGTCGCCGCCTTAGCACAGTCTAAGAGAATAAAGAAAGCACCGTCCAAAGTAGCAGATAATCCCTTCGATGGTCCGCTACCCTTTGAGTCACTTAAACCGCTCAAAACTGGAAAGTTACTCAATCGTGCTCAAATACCCGAACAAGACGCTGGCGCCAAAACATCCGACAAAGAACCAAGTAAGACGAAGGATAACCAGCCACTGCCGCCGTGGTTCTCAGGGCCATCGCAAACTGTCAAAAATGTTGAATTTGTCAGTGATGAGGTTGATCTTCGTCCAGTGGCGAAGCCGCCTACTGAGCAGAACATACCAGATCATGTGTTCATCGTTGGCGATGAAGACGCGACGGAGGATCAGAATTTAGAGTCTTCAAAAGGCTCAAAGCCATTCATTGACTTGGAGGACCCAACTCCTCAACTGAACGTTGTTAGTCAAGAGGCTCAAATCAAGCGCGAAAATAGGCCAGAAATAACTCCTGTCGAAGCACAAGTCACTGAGACAAGGGGCGCCGAAGCTTTGGAGGCACATATGGGAGATAGGGTCCCAGTGGATGCGTCCAATCATTCTATGACGAAACACACCTCCTTTGATGACAAAACAGATTTGAGGCACATCGAAAAGTCGCCTTCGCCTGAGTTCGAGGATGTTGTCTTGCAGCCCGACAATGTACCCGCGGAACCCATTGCACTAGATCAATCAGATCAAGTGGAGGAATATTATGATGAGGAAATTTTCTCAGATCCTGAAGACGAGCAATTACTCGAACAGCTTGCGGCTGAAGGGGAAGAGCATGTACGCTTTGCAGCGACACTAAACTCTTCTTCTCACACAGAACTTCCATTTGACTACGAGCAAGAACTGAAACAATTGCGATCTCAGCAAAAGAAGGACCGCAGAGATGCAGACGAAGTGTCACAAGTCATGATTACTGAATGCCAGCAGTTGCTGAGGCTATTCGGTCTTCCATACATCACGGCCCCTATGGAAGCTGAAGCCCAGTGTGCAGAACTGGTGTCACTCGGCCTTGTTGATGGTATCATCACCGATGATAGTGATGTGTTTTTATTCGGAGGAACACGCGTTTACAAAAACATGTTCAACCAAAGCAAGTTTGTTGAATGCTACCTCACAACCGACCTGGAGAAAGAGTACTCTTTGTTTCGTACCAAACTCATCAGGCTTGCCCATCTATTAGGAAGCGACTACACAGAGGGCATCCCCGGCATCGGGCCTGTAACTGCTCTAGAGATTCTCACTGAATTCGGGACCCTGGAAGACTTCCGTGATTGGTGGACTCAGGTGCAAACAGGACTCAACATGGGCAACGATAGCCATGCAACATTCTACAAGAAGTTCAAAAAGCATGCTACTAAAATCTTCCTACCACCATCTTTCCCCGATCCCCGAGTCGATGCCGCGTACCTGGAACCAGAGGTGGACTCGGACCCGTCTCCCTTCCAGTGGGGAGTACCCGACTTACATGGCCTGCGGGACTTCCTTATGTCAACAATCGGCTGGAGTCAAGAACGCACTGATGAGGTCCTGGTGCCCGTAATTCGCGACATGAACCGCAGAGAGCAGGAGGGCACACAATCGAATATTACTAGTTTCTTCAGCGGTCCACAAGGAGCGGGTGCCTTTGCACCACGTGTTCGCAGTGGTGGCCAGACAAGGATGGAGAAAGCATTTAGTCGACTCCGGCAGCAAGCTGCATCTGTGGAACAGCCGGATTCAACTGGCGTAGATGGTTACTTGGTTGATCCAGCCGCAGATAATTTTTTGGAGAGTCCAGTGACGTCAACAGGAAAGGAGGTGCGCACCAAACGAGGGCGTCATGGTGGACGAACTGCAAAGGATGGGCATGAAGACATCGCGGACAGGACCGCTACCAACAAAAAACGTCGGACCCGCGCCAAGTAAATAGTTGATCACAGTGGTGTCAGGAATATTATGCTTGACAAGTGGCTACATGCTGTTACTACTGAAGAATAAATCGATGATGATTCCCGCGTCCCAGGGTATCTTATCTAAGCCTTAAGGATCTTTATGTAGTATAGCAGGTGTGATCATGTATTCTGTAGATGTTTCGAGCTGTTCTGACATTCAAATACCAAAATCACTAAGTGCATGGCTCTGAATCACTAGTACTAACACCTCAGCCACCTCTACCTCCACATCTACTCCGAACATCCACCTGCAATGCTCCTTGGATGGTGGGGCAACTTGGCCTGACAGGTATAATTTATTCGATGTGGTTGACCGGAACTGATCCAATTGCCGGTTAGGTCAAGAGAGAGACTTTGCCTCATAGAGAGAAAGATGCCCACTGCAGTAACCGAAGTACGGCAATATTGTAGACAGGTGGGGATAGTCCCCGCTAGTGGAAGTGGGCCGGCCGGCCCTCCCCTTGGGTATCTAGATGTTGAATGTCATCAGCCCAGAAGATAACTGAGTCTTGTTATGCTCAATCCCCGATGTTTTACTAGTCATAGAATTTTTTTTTTTTTTTTTTTTTTTTTTTTTTTTTTTTTTTTTTTTCTCTAGAAGGCTAAAGTAAAGAGCAAAAGAAAAGAGAGAGAATGCAGAGAAGGTACCTTCACCAGGAGCAAAATGAGACTATAGGTGAAAATTTACCATATCCGGCTTGTACATAGGACTATTCACGTAAACGATTGCTCACGAACCCAACAGCATACGTTCTCTGCCATAGTGTAACAAGAACTGCTCTATATTATATAAACGTGGCTATCTTTCAATCGATATAACCCATATCCCAGCTATCGTAAGATGGGTCAGATCTGATAGTCTTATCTCCCCAAGGTATCCTTTCATAACCCAGTATAAGGTTTATAGGTACTCGGCTGTAACTCATCACTCGGCTACAGTAGGGTCGGCAGATGGCAGCTTCCCCATGAAGCTATCCCCATGACACGATAAGCCCTGCCGGCCAGCTGATCCTCCGGCACAACCTGCCGAATCGCGTCTAGTGGCTTGGCGATCGTCGATGGTGGGCGATCTTGGAGATATGATTGGTGGGGAAGGGGGAGAACAGAGCCGGGCAGCGCCGCATCGAACTACCAAAGCAAGTTAGCGTGAGCTGTCACGGGGTCGGTGTAGGACTTGCCTATTTGGGAACGAAGGGAGGGCGGCAGCATGAAGGAGAGGAAATCCAGATAAATATACCCTCTCACAGTCCGTCGTCTTTCACCTTCGTCTTCACCATCAATCAGACTTAATTGCAATTTCATCAAAGACCCCATCTGGTCGGTGTCCTCGCGACTCACCCGCGCATCCCCTTGTCGACCTGTCCGTCTATCTCGGCTCCCATCAATAGATGGCGCTCTCTCTTTATCCCCTCCGTCGTCATTCTCACGCATATACTATTGCCCTTTCGCAACCTATTCGCAGAGCCAGTAGGAATTGAATGCACTTATCAGAATACGTTTCCTGAATTATACATCATAAACTCAATATCTTATCCAATCCAAGCCCAATCCAAATCACGAGAAAAAGCAAACAAACAAACCCAATATGGCCATCGAGATCCTTCCCCTCACAAAGGAGGACATCCCCTCGGCCGTAGCATGCATCCAGAAAGCATTCGCCGACGACCCGTATTTTCATTGGGTATTCAACAATAAATTCGGGGTAAGTAGCCCTCCGTTCGAGTGCCTTCCAATTTCGGTTGGTGACACCAGGTACCTCGAATGATGTACAATATGAGCTAGAGTTGTACATGTAGAGTCCCGCTCTCTATTCTGCTTTGTTAGTTCCAACCTACCATATAAACAAGACTAAACAAAGTCATGAACAGTTCAACATCCACCGCAACGCCGCCTCTCTCGCCGCACACTTCCTCTACGGCCTTTCCTGCAACGAGCCCATTTTCGTGGCCAAATACACTACCAACACCCCCAGCGATAAGATTCCCACCGACTCCCCCGTCGTTGGAGTTTGCTGGTGGTACAGCCCGCAACCCCCGTCCGAACCTGTCCCCTGGTCCGTCTGGGCGCAAGACTGGATCCTCTCCTTCCGCCAGCTGTACAACAACATCCGGTTCGGTGGCCGTGGGGGGCTTAACGTCCGTCGTTACTGGCTCTGGAAAGCCCGGCAACAGGAGACTCACGACCGAGTTTGGACTGATCCCCGCGGCTACTACTTCTGCAATGTGATCGCAGTCGACTCCTCGATGCGAGGAATGGGTCTGGGACGGAAATTGGTTGAAGTAGTCAGTCAACAGGCTGATCGAGAGGGAATGCCTTGCTACCTAGAAAGTTCGAAGGGGTTCCCGAACCTGATGATCTATGAGAAGTTGGGATTTGAGATGGTCAGCGAGATTGAGTGTGTGGACGGCAAGGATAAATGCAAGGTATGTGAGACGTGAGCTTCGTTAGGTTTCTTATGTCGCCGTGTGGGTGGGCTAATGAGCACAGCTGTATTGTATGATCCGTCAGCCGAAGATAAAGGCGTAGATGGGATCGTAGATTTAAGATGCGCTCAAATAGCATGCAGGAATCCATGTCTACTACTATTGCGGCTACTGTTTTGAAAGCAGTTGGACACTCGATTGTATTGGCGCTACTTGGCTATGATTTCTAACGTAAGGGAGAGAGGGCTGAACCCCAAGTCCCATAGTTCGGACTACCGAGATCGAAGCGAATAACAGATTCCTTTACCTGAATGACTAGCTTTTCAAAAAGGGATATATATAAGGCCAAGATAAGTAAGATACGTATAGGAAATAATTTGGAAGTGGTGGTTTCAGTATGGCCAGCCTATCTTATGTGTGAAGAGCAGCTTCCGAATAAGGTTGCCTTCGGTTCAGATCGCGCAATTCTAGCACGCTCTCTAGTAAGCATAAATGCCACTACCAGTCCCTTGTTCATAATCTCAAAGAAAGTCTTTCTTAGCTGCGGGTCACCTCAAAACTCCACTACATCGTATCCATGCCGGAGTGGCGATGCCCGTTTTCGGGAAAGATGCTTCTACCAACCTGCCGTTCCTGAACAAAGAATGTGGATACAACCCAGAACGTCCAGCTTTGCTTCCTTAAGGTTAGACCTTATAATCCCAAAATAGTGACCCATAATTACCAAGTAAGTTCACAAGAAGACTCAAGAAGTGATCAATTTGCGATATGCAAGATAGTTCACCTTCTTCAATGTCTCCTTTCACTTGATAGACCATCTTCCACTGGTGCCAGTTCTCAGCATGATTCGGGGGAAATCCAGATTTACGAAATACATTGTCGCTGCATTCGCCAGTTATATTATTCTCACACTTCTATTCAGTGGCACTGGGGGAAAGTATTGGAAACAGGACTGGGTGAGAATCGCGCGGTCCACGCTGGAGGATCGGGCGCTGGAGCATATTCAAAATGAGACGCTTGGGGTTTGTTCTTTTTCATATTTTTCGATGATGCCCGTTACATATTTGCTGATAGTCTTCGACAGTTTGAACACATATATGCCATTGGGCTGAAAGAACGAACAGATAAGCGCGATTTCCTTAACCTCGCTGCGTCAATAGCCGGGTTTCGGGTCGAATGGATAGATGGGGTACATCCAGAGGACATGAGCGAGAAGGCTCTGCTCAACGTATGCTGCTTTGTGCCTAGGACTTTGCGCCTAATTAACACGGTTTTTAGGATAACTTATTAGCACCATCCGAGATAGGATGCTGGCGCGCTCATATGAACGCTTTGAGCAAGTCAGTCTGCTCCTTTGTCAATGCGGCAACCCTACTGATATAAGCTGACATTCTCATGATATAGTATGGTCCAAAACTCCTACTCGACTGCGCTTATCCTTGAAGACGACGCAGACTGGGACGTTAACATTAGGCAGCAACTCCGCGAATTTGCCCGAGGCGTGCGCGCGTTAACCAGGAATGCCAATACGACCAAGAGCGCTCCCTACGGCACCAACTGGGACATCCTCTGGGTGGGCGGATGCGCTTCATCTGCCGCTCCCAACGAGACCCAATTCTATGCCATCCCGCATGACCCAACTGCCCCCAGTGTCGATCACCGTGGTACATGGGGCGGCCCCCTCAACTCATGGAAAGAGATTTACCCTGAGACATCGACTCGTTTCATTTATCGGGCCGATATGGGCTGCTGCACCTATGGGTACGCGGTGACAAAGCGAGGTGCGGAGAGAATCCTAGCTGCCTTAGCGGTCGACCGACTCGTGGCTGCAGTGGATAACTCCATGGCTGATATGTGTGGTGGTAAGGATGGCCGTTCGCAGATTGAGTGTTATGCGCCGTTTCCCAACATTATCGGGACGTACAAGGCGGCCGGTCTTGCTTCGAAGGATTCGGACATCCGTGAAGGCAGCGACGAATGGCACGAGGCACAGGCCTGGAATCTCATGTATAGCACCCGATTGAATATTCATCGACTGGTGGCCGGTAGGGATACCGTATATGCGCAGTATGATGAGGGTTTTCCTTGGTCGCGGCGCGTGTTGAATTGGAAGGAGTTCGAGTACCCCAGGGGTTATCTAGTTTCTTGAACTTGTTGGTACATATTTGCTAGTGTGACTTATATTAATTATATCCAAGAATGTACGGTCCCTTGTTTAACCCTTAGCTGTGGCTTTCATGTTTCCAAATGATAAGAAGAGCCTGGGCCAGGTCGCTCTTGCTGCGCAGTCCATGGAACCTGGCCCGTACAACAAACCGATCTCTTTCTTCCCACCACAAGGACCCAACCAAGTGAACAGAGAAACCCGATCCCAATTTCCGCGGAATATACAACCTAAGCATAGGAAGTCTGGTCCCTGACGGAAACAGGAACCGGCCCCCCTCTTTCAAGGTTTACAGGAGCCGTATGAACCCACATTCCAGCGCCCGCAACCATCCCTATCTTACTTCCGTTTCCGGCCTCGATTCAGGTTCCCCGCCCCCCTGGCGCACATCACGAGTACGAGAAGTAACTATAAAGTGTAACATTGAGGTTCCCTTTGGACCGGTTTCTTTTTCAATCATGTGCCCTTTGAAACGGTAGAGCACACTCTCGCAAGTCTGGGTCGTGGAGCCTCATGATGTTCCAATGCGTTTCTCCCTCTAGTACCACAACCTCTGGGTCACTCTACACATCATGTATTGAGTAAACCTGTTGGACATAACCTGTAGCGCCACCCAACCAAGGTATATGTCATTGGGAGAAAGTGGAGTGAGTGGTGGTAGAGTTCCTTTCCTTGAAATAGAGATCTCTGGTGCATACATACCTTCTAGGACCCGGGGATGTTATGCTATGTTTGTTGCAGAGCCTCAGCCCTCTAGCAAGCAACACAATACACTGAATCAATCGAAGTATACTATCCTGGGTTATCATCATGGTTGTTGCAGGATCGAATCTGCGGGATGATGAGTGCAAGGGTCTATTGACTTCAGTGACTTGCAGTCCTGCAAGCCCACCACCACCACAATCGGACGATGTGAAGCTTGAGTTGGGATACTATTCGTACGAGGACGAAAAGAGACCTGAAGTGTTGTCTGAGGAGCCGGAAAAGCAGATAGGGAGTGTTCGACTTCTTGTATGGATGACAATCAATATTGTTGCGACTGTTGCCATCGTATGTTCCTATCATGCTGAACTTGAACATGAATAATAGTCACTGACAAACACGCAGGTATTCACCAACAAATCCATCCTCTCCAATGCATCTTTCCGCAACTCGCAAGTATCCTTCGCCGCCTATCATTTCACCATCACCGGGCTCACACTATGGCTGGCATCGCGGCCATGCTGCGGCTGGTTCGAACCCAAGCACGTATCGCCCTACCGCATCCTCCACCTCGTCGTGGCTATGTGCATCCAGGTCATCTTTCAGAACCTGGCACTGGCTTATTCGTCGGTGATCTTTCACCAGCTGGCGCGGTTGCTCCTTACGCCTGCTACGGCGTTGTTGAATTTTGCGCTGTTCCAGTCCAGCATCCCCAGAGCGGCGTTCCTTCCCCTGGTCCTACTGTGCACGGGAGTTGGAATTGTCTCCTACTTTGATTCGCTCCCGTCCGCGAAAGGCAACGATACCACGACACCAGAGGGTATTTTCTTCGCTTTGTCTGGTGTGTGTGCTAGTGCACTGTACACGGTCCTGGTGGGCCGGTATCATAAGAAGCTGGAGATGAGCAGTATGCAGCTTCTACTTAATCAGGCCCCTGTCAGTGCTGCTGTCCTGTTGTGTGTTGTTCCATGGATGGAGACGTTTCCGGAGGTTGCGGCTGTCCCTGGGTCGTTGTGGACTTCGATACTTGCGGTAAGCTGACTTTTATGTGCTTTTTGTCTGACAATCGATTAAGATAGAAAAGTGGCTGATGTATGCTTTGCAGAGTGGAATATTCGCTTGTCTGGTGAACCTATCTCAGTTCTATATTATTGATGCTGCCGGGCCGGTTACGAGCACGGTGATCGGACAGCTCAAGACCTGCGTCATTGTAGGGTTGGGATGGGTGCTGAGTGACCATGAGATTCTGCGGCAGAGTGTCGCGGGTATTTTGATGGCTTTGACGGGGATGAGCTTGTGAGTTACCTTGTCTTTATGGTTGATTCTGATATGACTGACGTTCTGTAGGTACATGAAGATAATTCTAAGGCATCAATCATGATGGATATGAGATCTGAATGTGTATTTGGCAATAAATGGGTAATATTAGAGTGGGAGTGGGATTGGGGTACATATGCTCGTGCTTGAATTTTTGGTATTCTTCTTCGTTATTCAAAAAAAAAAATGTGGCATTAAACCATTCTACTTGCAATAACTTAGACAAACTTGGATGAAAGCGTGCTTAGAAGACGAAATAAGTGTTTAGTCTCAAGTAGAATCCAATTCCAGCGTCTCATAAGAGTATCGATCGAGCCTTATGCTCAATCGAAACTATCAGAAGGAGAATATGGCTCGCTGAATTCCTTACCCATTCTGCCGGTCGCTCGTGATGATTTCCCAGTTTCTTTGATTTTTCAAAGAAGCCACCTGCCCCGTCGATCAGCAGGTGCGAATGGATCGTGTTCGTGTGATGAACGTTTTCGGCAATGGAGCATCAGTGGATGTGACCCTGAAGTACCTGACCAAGTAAGACATGTCCGGCTTGACTCCATCACTGAATACGAAAAATGTTGATCCACTAATTCCCACCCTGCCATTGTACAAGGGAGCATGTCACATATTACCTGACCCTGGTCCAAAAATCCATCTGGGAAGAAGCGAGAACATCTTCATGGTGGTCTCTACTATACCAACCCCCAGACCACATTTCGACCGACCACTACCCAACTATTCAGAATCATTACCAAAACGCCCTGATGATACTTCAATCATCTTCTCGAGGATCCTGCCTCCAATGGCTCACATCCCAATTTAACCGGCGTCGATTTCAGCTCTCGTTCGCTCTTGCCATTGTTCTTCTCCTCTCCTACCTCTTCCATCTTGATGTCCTCCCAACGAACTATGAGACCCCCTTCAAAGACCACTATGCTCGCACCCTTTCAGCACGAGACCTTCTCGCCCGTCCGCTCTCTCAAGACCTTACCACCATCCCTAAGCTTATCCATCAGACGTGGTTTCCTGCCGGTAGCAATATGAGCGACGATGCCCAAACCTGGGTACGGACAATGCGCTCTCAAAATGCAGATTGGGAGTATGTACTCTGGGATGACGAGACGAATCGGATGCTTGTCGAACAGTACTTCCCTTGGTTCCTGACAGATTACAACCGTCTCCCCAAGGAGATCCATCGAGCAGATGTGGTGCGCAACCTCTACATGTATCTCTTCGGAGGGTAGGTCACCACCGCAACCATAACCCTCGGATTAGCTGACAGTGATGATCTACAGAATGTACGCCGACGTCGACACAGAAGCTCTCCGACCCGTTGAGCCCCTCTTCACCAGCCATTTCACCACCCTCGCCAAGCACAATCAAATCCTCTCCTCAGGGCCGCGCAAGAACGACCATGACTGCACGCAGCGCGGATTTGTCGGCCACATGGCACACAAAGAAGGACTGGATGGCCCCGCCGCCGTCCCTAATGGTTGGATGGCATCACCCCCCGGCCACCCTTTTTGGCTCCTGCCTGTAATCCACGTGATTGAGAACCCCAACGGGAATGGCGATGGATCTGTCGAGTCACTCACGGGGCCTGGGGCACTCGGTACTATGCTACACAAGTATTACGAGGACTTTAAGGATAGTTCGGTGCGGACGCATGTGTGTCGAACGGTGCGGCGGTGGTCACCTGCGTGGGATTTGTACTGTGGACCGGAGGGCAGTGAGGAAGAGGTTGGGGCAAAAGCTGATAAGATGGTGGTGCTACCGCGACAGCAGATCTATCCGTATAGCTGGGCGGATGATAAGCATCCGGCATGTCTGGCAGCATGGGGAAACCCGGACTTCAATCCGGATGAGTGTAAGCGGTGGATTGATGTGGATGAGTGGCCGAGTTATTTCATTACATATTGTACGCATTCGTGGTGAGGAAGCATGGATGTCAGGTAAATTCGTTATGCTGGTTTCTGGACAATAGATTGATTTTTGTGGTGGGTTGATCATTCTAGATTGATAGTTCTCTTGATTAAATGATGGTTCAAGCTTTTATGGTTATGCTGATCGGAATGTGTGGATCTGGGTGAAGATAACGGCCATTATATAGCTGGTCCACGCCATGTATTGGGCACTTCTACTGATTGATTAACATACAAAACCAGGACTCTTCACTGAGAGATATGCTAGTTCCAACTTGAAGACTATAAGTCACTGTCTCGACGGTGAACATAATCAAAGACTGAAGGGGGTGACTCATCAAATCTGCTTAAAGATGTTCGTCCCCAAAGCGGAACTGTCATCCGTTTCCGTGCTCTGATTGGTCAATGGGTCCGATGTCCGCAAGCGTCAGCCCTACCCGACTAGTAAGTAGTAGTAGTACTACTTTACACAATACAGTTTGAACTTCTTTCGAGCTTCCGGTGGGTAGCTGGATTGCCCCTTCAAGGTTTGCCACCAGACACCTGGCTATTTGCTCATTCAATTTCGCCCCATCCCTACTAATGCTCGGTGTAGTTGGACAGTCTAGCTCAAACGACGTAAGCATGACCGAAAAGATAATTAATCAGCTCAGCTTACGGTCATTCATCAGCCCCTATCTCACACTAAAACCCTTTCCGACGATCACCCCGGAGCTTCCGTTCCGAAATTCGCCAAACCATGTCCCTGAACCCGAGTGTTAACCAATATACCCACAACGTCTGTGTAGAGAGTTGGGTTGCTACCCAGCCCCTGATCTACCCAAGGCCGTCCGAGTTTTCTTGGTCTCGGATAGGTAGCAAATGGGATGCGCGCGCGACAACCTAGTCTAGTCCCTCGTAAGTAGCCGCCAGTGGATCTGCTACAAAACCGCCCCCAAAGACACTGGAGACCAATCAGATCCCCATCATGCCAGACCCCTGGTACACCCTGACCAATCAAAGCAGCTTTTAAATGGCCGCCTACGGACCAGCTGAAGCTTGACTGATGCAGCTGTGCAGTTGCAATGAATGAACCATGCAGAACAGGGTTACACTCAAGCTTCCCTCCCACGGACGGACCCCATCAAAACCCGCAAACGTCCCAGGGTCACACTCTCTCCTTCGTTTAGCCCCAGACCCTGATTTTCTTGGTCCAGACTTTCCCGGGGTTGCAGTGGTTGCCAGTGCCATGGAAATAGGCCTGTACCTAGCAGAAGGAAAGTAGCGCTATCTATTACTACTACTACTAGTACTAGATATATCCTGGTTTAGCCGTGAGAGGGTTCTTTTGACGGAGTGAAATGCCCCCAATGGCCACCACGAGCTTTTTTTGGAGACCCTGTTTACTCGTATTACTTTGTGTCAACTAGAAGGCCCGTGAGAGTCCCTCACAATGACGATTCTGGATCTTCCGGCCAAGGAGGCTTCAGTATGGCCTGTTACCCTGGGCATTCTGTATGTAGTCACCAGTCAGCCAGAATAACCAGCGTTAACCATTGGATGTAGATCGTGGGTGTTTTGGTCGAATCTGACCATTTTATTCAATAAATGGGTTATTGAATCTACTGAATTCCGTACGTGAATCTTTCTACTTCACTGTACTCATCATGGACATGAACTTCCTACTAACGTATCCCAGGGTACCGTGAGTCTCTCTCTATTAGGTGAACAATTCCATCAATACAGTCTAATCACCGACACATCTCCGCAGCAATCATCCTAACAACATGGCATCTCATCTTCGCAACCCTAGCCACTCAACTTCTTGCCCGAACCACCACCATGCTCGACGGTCGCAAGAAAATCCGCATGGACGGCCGAACCTACGTCCGCATGATCATTCCCATCGGCATTCTCTACAGCGGTAGTCTCGTCTGCAGCAACATCGTCTACCTCTACCTGAATGTTTCCTTTATCCAGATGCTCAAAGTAAGCCCACCCCCACCATTCACTATCCCTTCAACCCCCAATATACAATTTCAATACTAAGGAAAGCAAAACAGGCATGCGGCCCAATAGTGACCCTCCTCACCAGCTGGGCCTGGCACGTCAAAACCCCCTCGCTCGAATCCTTCCTCAACATCCTCCTCATCGCCTTCAGTGTCGCCCTCGCTGTCGCCGGCGAAGTCCAATTCTCCTGGCTCGGCGTCACCTACCAACTCGCCAGTCTTGTCTTCGACGCCAACCGTCTTGTCATGATCCAGATCCTGCTGTCAGACGAGGGCCAGAAAATGGACCCCCTTGTGACTTTGTACTATTCTGCACCTGTGTGCGCCTTCACGAACTTCATGATTGCGTTTTATACTGAGCTGCGCGGGTTCAGTTGGAGTGTGGTTGGGGAGACTGGGATCGGGGTTTTGGTTGCGAACGCTACGGTGGGGTTCATGTTGAATGTGTCGATTTTTGTTTTGGTATGTACATTTCCTTCCTTTCTGGTTGGTGGTCAGGTGGTGAATGTGCGTGGATGCTAATGAGTATGAATATGTATAGATCGGAAAGACATCCGGTTTGACCATGACACTGGTTAGCGTGCCGAAGAACATCCTGTTGATTGTCTGTTCTGTGGTGATCTGGGGCACGCAGATCACTCCGCTTCAGATGGTGGGGTATGCTATTGCGCTGTTGGGGTTGTTGTATTATTCTCTGGGGTGGGCGACTATTAGGGGGGCATATGATGCTGGGTATGTCAGGTTGGTTGGAAGGCAAGCGGAGAGGATGAAGGAGGAGGAGGATGTATGAAGAGGATTGTGTGCAGTTATTTGATGACTTTTATCTTGGTGTTGTTGTGAGAGGGTTTTAGATCGGTGTCTAGTGAGGTATGTAATAGACGATAATATCATACTCAAGTGTTCTGATTTCATTCGAATCATAATACCGAATCAACTTCCAGGGACTACATTCTTGGGCTCATATCAGCAAAGCAGAAGTCTCGGATCATCGGTGTGAATAACTCGCTCAGATGATAAAGCACCGCGCAAAGAGAATGCTATAAAAAGCACACTACTACAGCCGCCTCTCAGTAGGTACTTGTAGGCTTTAAGTAAAATGGCCTTTGCCGCCCGTGCTTTCGTCCGTGTTTATGGCTATTTATCAATTCGAAGCATTATGCCCCCTTAGGTTTCATGGATATGTTTTCCTGCGTATATAGCGGGCTAACTATTGCGAATTATTAAGAAGACGTATGTCGGCGCTGCACCGTCGGAACAATGCCCGGGGAGTGGATCGGGAATGTCGCGGGGTTGGGACCGGAATTGCGCCGACCAGCGGGGAAAGACTTTAGGAGCAAGCAGTTCTACTATAACTACCTTCCTTTCCCAGAAAACCCCAATACTAATACTTGAGCAGTTACATCTTTCCCATCCTCAAGTCTCATCACCAAACTCACCATGGACCAGCTAAATGACATCGGTGGCCGATTGGCCCTCATCACCGGCGCCTCAGGAGGGTAAACTCTCTTCCACTCTCTTCCACTCTCATCCATACCACAATTGAAACCAACACATCCATTATTAACAAACGATGACTATAGAATCGGTGCCGCCTGCGCCCGTCAACTAGCCGCCAAAGCTGTGCACCTAGCCCTCACCTACTCATCCAATCCCACATCCATAACCACCCTTCAACAAGAACTCCAAACCCAACACCCCACCCTCCTCATCACAATCCATCAAGTCGACGTCTCCTCCCCCAGCCAAATAACTACCCTTTTCACCGAGATCCAAGCCCAACACAGCAACCGCACCCCAGACATCCTCATCTCCAACGCCGGGTACGGCAAACGTGTCCCGCAAGTATGGGACATCACGACAGAGGAATTCGACTACACTCTGACCGTGAATCTGCGGGCCTCGTTCCTCCTCGTCAAAGGGGTAGTCGAGCACATGAAGGCGCAGCGCTGGGGGCGGATTATCTTCATGTCGTCGATTGCGGGGTATGGAGGCGGCATTAATGGGTGTCATTATGCGGCATCGAAGGCAGGGTTGACGGGCATGATGAAGAACTTGGCAACGAGGTTAGCAGAGTACAATATTAGTGTCAATGATGTTGCGCCGGCGATGATTGGAGATACGGGAATGATTCCTAATGCCGAGGCAATTCCGGAGGTGGCAAGCACGATACCCCTGGGGAGGCTGGGATTGCCGGAGGAGGTGGCTAATGTTGTCACTATGTTAGTGGGGACGGGGTATATGACGGGGCAGAGTTTGCTGTTGGCGGGAGGATTGAAATAATGGTTTCATTTGATATAACTGTATGGGTTGAAATCAACTCATATTCACATTCATATTCTTTGACTTGACGGAGCCCTGCTATGTAAGGTTGTATGAATGGTTCGTGTGAATGTGAGTTGTCTCTCTGGGTCACGGGATGCTGTCTGTTTGTCTCGTTTGTTTGTAGTGGCTGGCTTATCGAGTGTTATCGCGTACCCTTCCAGATTGGAAAATTAAGTCAAATTGCCAATATAATTGGCTGACGACTTTCACAGCTTGAATATCTGGAAGCTATTTAATACTTATCAAAGGAAGCTGTGAATTAAGATAGAGATGGCTTGGATAACACACTCTTCGATTTCCAAATTAGATGCAGTAAGAGCAAGGGGACACTAACTATATTGATTCATCTTTATACAATACATGATTGAATTACTACTAAACATGCGCAAGCACGATAGCTGATCATTATATCACTACTAGTACTAGCTAAAACTTGCAGATCACAGCCAGTAAGAAGAGCAACGATAGTACTAAGTCATAGTACGAGAGAGTAATTGACAGATATCAGTGTTAACCTTCAAATTGTTAGACGCGCCCTTTTTGACTCAAGGGTTTTTCGAAATCTACGAATGGAAGGCCTGCTCAGCCTCCTTTCAACGTTCTCAGCAGGCAATTCAATCCTATGATACTGCCAAGTTCTTTTATATTTCAAGAATACCGAGAATACCCGAACAATGACCAATTATTTTCTACTACCTCTTACTTTCCGGGCGAGAGAGGAGGTTGTGACCCGGGCGGCGGGGGGGAGGTTGTATTACTACTGAAGAATTTATTCTAGTAGTTATGGTATACCGGCACTAACACTTTATAGTACAGTAGTCTAACATGGATATACCCTGCTCATATTGTTTTAGTCTATGATCACTGCTTCATGCATAGGATGTGGAGGATGACTTTTGGGTAGCTATCGGAAAGCCGTCATGCTGACATCATCGCCGTTGCATCGCGACAGTTTTGATCACACTTCTATCGCGAAGGAAAAGAAAAGAGCTTGCGATTCACAAGCATTGAAAACATAACAGTAGCCAGGATGTTTATTATTACAGTTTTGCACTGGATAGCAGACTACCTGCTGTCTTCGATCAAGATGGTAAACCATATCCCATGTCGCATACCACAGTAATTAACGGATCTCAGGTCCAAAATAGAGAGGTTGGATGGATTACCATAGAGCGCAAGGTAATATCCTCCCCGATCGCTCTATACTTGCGTCGTACTTACAGGAGACAGACTGGTAAACACATGCGGGAACAGCAGCCGCTATGGAAGAAGCTCAAGCTGCTTCTCTTATTCAACCCGTTGACAGAGTGGCTTGATACCACCCATCTGATGCGGTTATACCTGCACCATGCAGCCATTGAGGAAGGTAGCATAATCACTTCCCTTTCTATATTTCTCTTTTTCCCCAGACTCAGCGTTGACCCCAACAGGCAAAGAAGAAGCCAGCCCTGCATCTCGGAATCGCATCAAGGCCTTTGTTGACTTCTACCGCATCAATATGAACGATTTCACCCCTTCCGACATAACAGCCTACGCGACATTCGAAGACTTCTTCGTACGTGCCCACAAGCCTGGCTCGCGCCCCATCTACCGTAAAGACGACCCCACAGCTGCAGTGATAGTTGCCGACTCGCGAGTCGTCGCTTACGAAGCCGTAGCCGAGAGCAAGAAAATCTGGATCAAAGGGAATGATTTTTCTATTACAAATCTGGTAATGGATAAGCAATTGGGGCCGAAGTTCGCGGATGGCCCGGTTGCGAGTTTTCGGTTGTCGCCGCAGGATTATCATCGGTATCATAGTCCGGTTTCGGGGACTATTAAGCAGTTTCGAAGCATGCCGGGAGACTATTACGAGGTGGATCCGATAGCGTTGCAGAGTCAGGTGGACATCTTGACGAGGAACGCGAGAGATTATGTGGTTATCGAGACGAAGGAGTTTGGGGATGTGCTTTTTGTGGCTATTGGGGCTTCGCAGGTGGGGACTGTGAGGTATGCAGTTTATGAGTATGGTTGGCAGTTGAAGAGTGCTAATGTTTAGTAGGATTCATCCGCAGTATCAGCAACCGGGGAATCAGATACAAAAGGGTGATGAGCTTGGGATCTTCCAGTTTGGAGGGTCGTCCATCATTGTCGCATTCCAGAAGGGTCGTATACAGTTCGATGAGGACATACTGAAAGCAAGTAAGAATGCCATTGCTGTCGATGTTGAAGTGGGGATGAGTCTAGGTCGGGCTGTGGGTGAAAAGGTACATGATGAGTTATAGTATCAGCAAGTAGGTAGTGGATGCCATGCTGGAGACAAGACAGTGCTGGTGTTAGGCTTTGTTCTGGTTTTGTTCAAGGATAGAAGAGTATGTGGTCGAATCGGGAAAGGGTGGGTATGTTGTGAAAAAAAAAAAAAAAAAAAA